ATATATCATCCAGGCAGCCAAAAGAAGAGTCTAGTCTGGTCCACAAAATATATCATCCAGGCAGCCAACACAAGAGTCTAGTCTGGTCCACAAAATATATCATCCAGGCAGCCAACACAAGAGTCTAGTCTGGCCCACAAAATTTATCTTCCAGGAAGCCAACACAAGAGTCTAGTCTGGCCCAAAAAATATATCATCCAGGCAGCCAACAGAAGAGTCTAGTCTGGTCCAAAAATATATAATCCAGGCAGCCAACACAAGAGTCTAGTCTGGTCCACAAAATATATCATCCAGGCAGCCAACACAAGAGTCTAGTCTGGTCCACAAAATATATCTTCCAGGCAGCCAACACAAGAGTCTAGTCTGGTCCACAAAATATATCATCCAGGTAGCCAACACAAGAGTCTAGTCTGGTGCACAAAATATATCTTCCAGGAAGCCAACACAAGAGTCTAGTCTGGCCCACAAAATATATCATCCAGGCAGCCAACACAAGAGTCTAGTCTGGTCAACAAAATTTATCTTCCAGGAAGCCAACACAAGAGTCTAGTCTGGCCCAAAAAATATATCATCCAGGCAGCCAACAGAAGAGTCTAGTCTGGTCCACAAAATATATCATCCAGGTAGCCAACACAAGAGTCTAGTCTGGTCCACAAAATATATCTTCCAGGTAGCCAACACAAGAGTCTAGTTTGGTCCACAAAATATATCTTTCAGGCAGCCAACAGAAGAGTCTAGTCTGGTCCACAAAATATATCTTCCAGGCAGCCAACACAAGAGTCTAGTCTGGTCCACAAAATATATCTTCCAAGCAGCCAACACAAGAGTCTTATCTGGTCCACAAAATATATCTTCCAGGCAGCCAACACAAGAGTCTAGTCTAGTTCACAAAATATATCATCCAGTCAGCCAACACAAGAGTCTACTCTAGTCCACAAAATATATCATCCAGGCAGCCAACACAAGAGTCTAATCTGGTCTACAAAATATATCTTCCAGGCAGCCAACACAAGAGTCTAGTCTGGTCCACGAAATATATCTTTTAGGCAGCCAACACAAGAGTCTAGTCTGGTTCACAAAATATATCATCCAGGCAGCCAACACAAGAGTCTAGTCTGGTCCACAAAATATATCTTCCAGGCAGCCAACACAAGAGTCTAGTCTGGTCCACAAAATATATCTTCCAGGAAGCAAACACAAGAGTCTAGTCTGGCCCACAAAATATATCATCCAGGCAGCCAACACAAGAGTCTAGTCTGGTCCACAAAATATATCATCCAGGCAGCCAACACAAAAGTCTAGTCTTTTCCACAAAATATATCATCCAGGCAGCCAACACAAGAGTCTAGTCTTGTCCACAAAATATATCTTCCAGGCAGCCAACACAAGAGTCTAGTCTGGTCCACAAAATATATCATCCAGGCAGCCAACACAAGAGTCTAGTCTGGTTCACAAAATATATCATCCAGGCAGCCAACACAAGAGTCTAGTCTGGTCCACAAAATATATCATACAGGCATCCAACACAAGAGTCTAGTCTGGTCCACAAAATATATCTTCCAGGCAGCCAACACAAGAGTCTATACTGGTCCACAAAATATATCATCCAGGCAGCCAACACAAGAGTCTAGTCTGGTCCACAAAATATATAATCCAGGCAGCCAACACAAGAGTCTAGTCTGGTTCACAAAATATATCTTCCAGGCAGCCAACACAAGAGTCTAGTCTGGTCCACAAAATATATCTTCTAGGAAGCAAACACAAGAGTCTAGTCTGGCCCACAAAATATATCATCCAGGCAGCCAACACAAGAGTCTAGTCTGGTCCACAAAATATATCTTCCAGGCAGCCAACACAAGAGTCTAGTCTGGTCCACAAAATATTTCATCCAGGCAGCCAACACAAGAGTCTAGTCTGGTCCACAAAATATATCTTCCAGGCAGCCAACACAAGAGTCTAGTCTGGCCCACAAAATATATCATCCAGGCAGCCAACACAAGAGTCTAGTCTGGTCCACAAAATATATCTTCCAGGAAGCCAACACAAGAGTCTAGTCTGGTCCACAAAATATATCTTCCAGGTAGCCAACACAAGAGTCTAGTCTGGGCCACGAAATATATCATCCAGGCAGCCAACACAAGAGTCTAGTCTGGTCCACAAAATATATCATCCAGGCAGCCAACAGAAGAGTCTAGTCTGGTCCACAAAATATATCATCCAGGCAGCCAACACAAGAGTCTAGTGTGGTCCACAAAATATATCATCCAGGCAGCCAACACAAGAGTCTAGTCTGTTCCAAAAAATATATAATCCAGGCAGCCAACACAAGAGTCTAGTGTGGTCCACAAAATATATCATCCAGGCAGCCAACACAAGAGTCTAGTGTGGTCCACAAAATATATCATCCAGGCAGCCAACAGAAGAGTCTAGTCTGGTCCACAAAATATATCATCCAGGCAGCCAACACAAGAGTCTAGTGTGGTCCAAAAAATATATAATCCAGGCAGCCAACACAAGAGTCTAGTCTTGTCCACAAAATATATCTTCCAGGCAGCCAACACAAGAGTCTAGTCTGGTCCACAAAATATATCTTCCAGGCAGCCAACACAAGAGTCTAGTCTGGTCCAAAAATATATAATCCAGGCAGCCAACACAAGAGTCTAGTCTGGTCCACAAAATATATCATCCAGGCAGCCAACACAAGAGTCTAGTCTGGTCCACAAAATATATCTTCCAGGCAGCCAACACAAGAGTCTAGTCTGGTCCACAAAATATATCATCCAGGCAGCCAACACAAGAGTCTAGTCTGGTCCACAAAATATATCTTCCAGGCAGCCAACACAAGAGTCTAGTCTGGTCCACAAAATATATCTTCCAGGCAGCCAACACAAGAGTCTAGTCTGGTCCAAAAAATATATCTTCCAGGAAGCCAACACAAGAGTCTAGTCTGGTCCACAAAATATATCTTCCAGGCAGCCAACACAAGAGTCTAGTCTGTTCCACAAAATATATCATCCAGGCAGCCAACACAACAGTCTAGTCTGGTCCACAAAATATATCTTCCAGGCAGCCAACACAAGAGTCTAGTCTGGTCCACAAAATATATCATCCAGGCAGCCAACACAAGAGTCTAGTCTGGTCCACAAAATATATCTTCCAGGCAGCCAACACAAGAGTCTAGTCTGGTCCACAAAATATATCTTTCAGGCAGCCAACACAAGAGTCTAGTCTGGTCCACAAAATATATCTTCCAGGCAGCCAACACAAGAGTCTAGTCTGGTCCACAAAATATATCTTTCAGGCAGCCAACACAAGAGTCTAGTCTGGTCCACAAAATATATCTTCCAGGCAGCCAACACAAGAGTCTAGTCTGGTCCACAAAATATATCTTCCAGGCAGCCAACACAAGAGTCTAGTCTGGTCCACAAAATATATCTTCCAGGCAGCCGACACAAGAGTCTAGTCTGGTCCACAAAATATATCTTCCAGGCAGCCAACACAAGAGTCTAGTCTGTTCCACCAAATATATCATCCAAGCAGCCAACACAAGATTCTAGTCTGGTCCACAAAATATATCTTCCAGGCAGCCAACACAAGAATCTAGTCTGGTCCACAAAATATATCTTCCAGGCAGCCAACACAAGAGTCTAGTCTGGTCCACGAAATATATCTTCCAGGCAGCCAACACAAGAATCTAGTCTGGTCCACAAAATATATCTTCCAGGCAGCCAACACAAGAGTCTAGTATAGTCCACAAAATATATCATCCAGGCAGCCAACACAAGAGTCTAGTCTGTTCCACCAAATATATCATCCAGGCAGCCAACACAAGATTCTAGTTTGTTCCACAAAATATATCTTCCAGGCAGCGAACACAAGAGTCTAGTCTGGTCCACAAAATATATCTTCCAGGCAGCGAACACAAGAGTCTAGTCTGGTCCACAAAATATATCTTCCAGGCAGCCAACACAAGAGTCTAGTCTGGTCCACAAAATATATCTTTCAGGCAGCCAACACAAGAGTCTAGTCTGGTCCACAAAATGTATCATACAGGCATCCAACACAAGAGTCTAGTCTGGTCACAAAATATATCATCCAGGCAGCCAACACAAGAGTCTAGTCTGGTCCACAAAATATATCATCCAGGCAGCCAACACAAGAGTCTAGTCTGGTCCACAAAATATATCTTTCAGGCAGCCAACACAAGAGTCTAGTCTGGTCCACAAAATGTATCATACAGGCATCCAACACAAGAGTCTAGTCTGGTCACAAAATATATCATCCAGGCAGCCAACACAAGAGTCTAGTCTGGTCCACAAAATATATCATCGAGGCAGCCAACACAAGAGTCTAGTCTGGTCCACAAAATATATCTTCCAGGCAGCGAACACAAGAGTCTAGTCTGGTCCACAAAATATATCTTCCAGGCAGCCAACACAAGAGTCTAGTCTGGTCCACAAAATATATCTTTCAGGCAGCCAACACAAGAGTCTAGTCTGGTCCACAAAATGTATCATACAGGCATCCAACACAAGAGTCTAGTCTGGTCACAAAATATATCATCCAGGCAGCCAACACAAGAGTCTAGTCTGGTCCACAAAATATATCATCCAGGCAGCCAACACAAGAGTCTAGTCTGTTCCACAAAATATATCATCCAGGCAGCCAACACAAGAGTCTAGTCTGGTCCACAAAATATATCATCCAGGCAGCCAACACAAGAGTCTAGTCTGTTCCACAAAATATATCTTGGTACTAAATTAATATCTCGAACCCTTGTCAGTGTTGATCCAGCATTGCTGCTTCAATCCAAATCTTTCACTTTAACCTTACTTCCTCATTGGCCATTTGGCGAGGTCATGTATTGCTATGCTGGTCATTGACTTGCTTAGCCGATACATTACTATTTGTTTAGATGTCTTCATCAGCTGTTTTGTAACATGACTGTCGCGGTTATGTGTTAATTGTATTCTACTTGGATCCCATACTGTTGTTTACAGATATAGTGGGACTGCAAGTGTTTTATACCGATGGCACATCCCTGTTTGAGAAGTACATGGCTTGTACTGAAGGCTACATCTGTGACAGTCTTTGTATTGACAAGTTCAAAGAATGTAAGTCCCTTTTATTTGATAGGATTTTATTCATCATTTTATGTTTTTTTTTAAATTATACATTGTTTATAAATACAGATGAACAGTAAAAGCATATAACAATACCACCTACATTTGTAAAAACAATAAAGGGTTTAAGAGGTTACATGCTCCATGTATTCCATTAACCGTGTTTATATAAAACTAGCGTACCCGCCCCCCCCCCCCCCGCGCGTTGCCGCGGGGATAGAAGAAAGTTTGACGAAATATATAAGAAGGATTTCACCAACGCGTTACCAATCATATGTTCTTAGATGCGTGACCTTGTTTTCTAAAACTGTGTTATTTAAATGTCAACAATGCCTGTGCTTGGATCATAAATGTTAGGACACGGGTTTAACTACACTACCGCATGAAAACCTTGAGTGTACGTTAATCACTTGCTGAAAAAAATATGGTGGAACACACTTCGGTGACCGCCCATGTGTCAGAGATGTAGAGGCCCGCTTTTAGGAGCCCCCCCCCCCGATTACACTACCGCATAGGCGCGGCGTACGATCCCTGGCTCCTTAAAATAGCATCCTGTTAACAATGATGCAGATTGCGTCATTCACTAAAGTGACACAAATGAACAGGATTTGTTATTTAACACGTAAAAAAATTATTTGACGCGTTTTAAACATCAGTGTGACTGATGCAATATGTTATCGTTACTTATGGTCTATTCTTAGATGCTCGATCTCAATTTCTGTTTGGATTATCTAAAAATAGATTCGAATTGCATCATTCGCAAAGTGACGAAACTGTTTGGATTTTTCTACGGGCAAAAAGAAACACCCCAGTTAATAATCTAACCTTGGTTAATTTTTCTGATTATTAAAATAAAACGTATTACATGGCCCTCAGCGGCCCATTTGAGCCTTTGGGGGCCAAAACAGACATTTTTATTTGCAGCCTAATCGCACCCTACCAGGGCGCCAGAGGACACGCCTGATTCTATTTAGTAAGTGTTTGACGCCCCATCCTATCAATTGTCTATCACACTGTTTAGACCGAACGTATTCACCATAGCGCTCACGGGAAAGATCAGGGCGCCAAATCGCATACTGCCGGGGTGGGGGGGGGGGGGGGCGCCCATGCAAAATTAAATCCCCCACCACCCACCCACCCCTATTCCCCCCTCCCACCCCAGAAACCTTCTCGGTAGTATTCATCAACTTCCTTAAGTTTTATGGCACCGGGATAAATTGCGTCGAACCGCAATCGTCTTTTATTTTTATATGCCGTATATTGAGAAAAATCCCACCATTCCGTGGCGCCGCTCTTGCGAATTTTAAAAATGATTTTTTTACAGAACCCTTCCCTGGAGTGTTCTAATCAACACCCTAAAGTTTGATGGCTATCGGATGAACGTTGTGAGACCGCAATCGATTTTTATTTTTATATACCATATATACAGAGAAAAGAAATCGCGCCCTACCAGGGCGCCACCCCAGCGAATTTGAAAATGTTTTAGCGCAGAAACCTCCCCAGTAATATTCTCAACATCCTCCCAAAGTTTCATGGCGATCGTGTGAACGGTGTCACCGCAATTCACTTTTATTATTTTTATATACCGTATATAGAGAAAAACGCACCCTCACGTGGCGCCGCCCTTGCGAAAATAAAAATGATTTTTTTACACAACCCTTCTCCAGAGTGACCCAATCAACTCCCCCAAAGTCTCATGGCTGTCGGATAACGATGTCAAACCAAAATCGACTTTTATTTGTATATACCGTTATACCGTATATAGAGAAAAATCGCACCCTCCCGTGGCTCCGCCCTTGCGAAATTAAAAATGATTTTTACTGAACCCTTTCCTAGAGTTTTATAATGAACTCCCCAAAGTTTCATGGCGATCGTGTGAACGGTGTCAAGGCAATTCACTTTTATTTTTTTATATACGGTATAATGAGAAAAATCGCACCCTCCTGTGGCGCCGCCCTTGTGAAATTAAAAATTATTTTTTACAGAACCCTTCCTCAAAGTGTTCTAATGAACTCACCAAAGTTTGATGGCGATCGAATGAATGGTGTCAAACCAAAATCGACTTTTATTTAATAAATAACAAATCATGCCCTGCCGGGGCGCCACCCCCGCGAATTTTTTTTTTATCGCAAAAACCTCACCAGGAATATTCTCAACAACTTCTCAAAGTTTCACGGCGATGTGATAAGAGGTGTGGTAATGCATAAAAGACAGACAGACAGACAGACAGACAGACAGACAGACTGACAGACAGACAGACAGACCCAGCTAACACAGTATGTAATAGCAGGGTCGGCCCAAGCTTGGCCCAATGTTGTAATCATGGCCAAACATTGGACAAGCTTACGCCAGGGTACAGCCAAGATTTGTACATGCTTGCATCCCTTGATACCTTGATATTTAACCGTTTTTACCTTGGCTGCCAAGATTACACTGATTTATGGATTCACTGCAGAAATTTTAGTTAAATATGCTTGTTAAACTTAATATATGTTAACTAAAATTAATTTATCTTTTAATATCATGCTCTAATGTAAACATAGCATCAATAACAGACTACGTTGCATGTGTTAAACATTTTGTTAATCTTTTTAAAATTGTGTGCGCTACTGCCACCGGCCCCCTGTCGCCCATTGTCCCTTTGTTCACATTCCTTCCTATTGTTCGCAAGCCAGCATCCCGGTGCTTCGCCATTTTTCTTAACAAAAGACTTTGTATCCAGTCGCAGTAAAACAGGTAGGCCCACTGTAGCCATTTTAGTTCAACAGTGAGAAGTAGTATAACTGTATTTATGCAGAATCTGGAAAACTCGAATTTTTTTGTTGGAAACTTTAACTTTATGGGCCTAAGTCATCAAATAAAAGTTATAAAAGGTAGTTTATTTGAGGTAATAAAATGAGCCTATATATATATATATATATATATATATATATATATATATATATATATATGCAGTATAAGTGTTACCTGGGTAGCATGAACACCCCAGACCACCAGTCTTTATACCTATATAATATATCGTTACAAGGTAGCAAACATGATGTTAGGGGCTTCTTGTTGTATGTTCAGTGCAGTGCAAAATAAAATAAACATAATAAATTTAGTGCAAAATGAGCAGTGTATGGTTGTAATTATTTCATAAATGACTTTTAGTGTGTAACTTTTCTTTTTTAGAATGTGGATGGATTATGACATACCTTGCACAAATCAACAACCAGGCTTTTATTGGATTTGAATCCCAAAGGAAAGAGAAAGTTTGTTATCCAAAACAAACATGGAAAATATCAGAAACCAACAAAACACAAGCAGGCAGAGTGTTATGGACCCAACTTTGGGGAATCTCCTAAAACCAAGTATAAAAATAGAGAGGTGTGGTTGTGTCTCTCAGCTCCACAAGGGTCCACAAGAATGAGGACAACAGTGATTTTCGTAATAATTTTAGATCAGATTTAAAAAAAAAATTTGATCAGATGGATCAGGTTAACAGTTTAATACATATTGCATGTAAGTGCTTAACGAAAAGAAAAGATTCTCTTACCAAAATAGTCTAAGAACAATGCTGATTTTAAATTAATAAATTGTTTCCTTTTGTAATAATATAATAATTTAAGTTTGCATTGTATGTATGTTTAGTGTAGATTTAATGTCCTAAATGAAATATACAATTGACATTTTTTTCTTTAAAGAATTAGTTGCAAATTTCTTTCATTATTTAGTTTCACTGTACAATCTGAAAAAAGCTTGCAACATTTGTATTGACAATACTTCTGCTGGTGATATTTATTTCTAATTAATGAAGTAAATTAATATATATTTAGTTTACTATAATTAAATACCTCATACTCGAGACAAAAAAACATTTATTGAATATCGCAGTGATATTCCTGTTCTACACAATGCGTATAAACCCTCGAACCATCTGTCTTTTGAAAGATTGTACATTTTGTAACACAATGGCATTCATTTCAACACTATTTAACCACAATTATAATCTAGAGATCCTGAACAAATTTTCGTTCTGTTATTTATGGACAAGGCAGACTGGTCCAGCATTAAAATGTAAACCTTAATTAGAATACTTAAACGAGCAATGCAATTAAATGTTGTTAGACAAATATTTTATACTTTTTATTTTTAATGTTATGTTTACGTATCATAGTACAAGACAGCTTCTGTATTCTTGTACAGTAAATTAAGTTTTTACATTAGTTTAATTTAAACTGTAGGCCTGCTTAACATCTGTTACATTATATGAAAATGTTTTGTATATTTGTTTTAATTTGTTTGTATAAAAGTCAAAATGAAAGTTACTACACTATTATTTACATATTCTTTTTCAATCAATACTTTATAGTATAGTTATAATTTTCTTACAATTGAATGGATGGTATAATACAGATTTTAATAGATGAGCAGTTCTTGTGTATGTATTGCTGCTTTACTACATTTTGATTAAAATTTCTTTCACATTTTGAAATTACCTTTGTAAATATTATGACTGATATGAGAATGGATCTTTTTGTATGCTAAAAATAAAAATTTGAGCCAAGATGTAGCCAGGATATAATACAGGCTGAGCCAAGGTATAGCCGAGATATAGCCATTATTGGGCCAAGATGTAGCCAGGATATAATACAGGATGAGCCAAGGTATAGCCAATATTGGGCCAAGATATAGCCATTATTGAGCCAAGATGTAGCCAATATTGGGCCAAGATGTAACCATGATATAGACAATATTGGGCCAAGATATAGCCAATATTGAGCCAAGATGTAGCCAATATTGGGCCAATATGTGGCCGGGATATAGCCAATGTTGGGCCAATATGTAGCCGGGATATAGCCAATATTTGGCCAAGATCTAGCCAATGTTGGGCCAATATGTAGCCGGGATATAGCCAATATTGTGCCAACATTGCGCCAACATCATGCCGAGTTTCACTACCAATGTTTCGCCAAGGTTAAGCCAATGTTGCACCAAGATGTAGCCAATATTGGTAACCAATGTTTAGCCAATATTGGGCCAATATATGTGTGCTGACTGGGGACAGACAGACAGACAGACAGACAGACAGACACACACACACACACACACACACAGACACACAGACACACAGACACACAGACACACAGACACACAGACACACAGACACACAGACACACAGACACACAGACACACAGACACACAGACACACAGACACACAGACACACAGACACACAGACACACAGACACAAGGACACACAGACACAAGGACACACAGACACACAGACAAACAGACAGACACACACACATACATTGCTTTATATAGAGAGAGTTTAATCTTGTATACTTGTATTAGATCAGTTTCACTCAAGTTCTGTACCATTATACCAAGATTACACTACAAATGTTTTTAACTATGACAAAACCATTACGGCTAAACACGTATTACATGGCCCTCAGCGGCCCATTTGAGCCTTTGGGGGCCAAAACAGACATTTTTATTTGCAGCCTAATCGCACCCTACCAGGGCGCCAGAGGACGCGCCTGATTCTATTTAGTAAGTGTTTGACGCCCCATCCTATCAATTGTCTATCACACTGTTTAGACCGAACGTATTCACCATAGCGCTCACGGGAAAGATCAGGGCGCCAAATCGCATACTGCCGGGGTGGGGGGGGGGGCGCCCATGCAAAATTAAATCCCCCACCACCCACCCACCCCTATTCCCCCCTCCCACCCCAGAAACCTTCTCGGTAGTATTCATCAACTTCCTTAAGTTTTATGGCACCGGGATAAATTGCGTCGAACCGCAATCGTCTTTTATTTTTATATGCCGTATATTGAGAAAAATCCCACCATTCCGTGGCGCCGCTCTTGCGAATTTTAAAAATGATTTTTTTACAGAACCCTTCCCTGGAGTGTTCTAATCAACACCCTAAAGTTTGATGGCTATCGGATGAACGTTGTGAGACCGCAATCGATTTTTATTTTTATATACCATATATACAGAGAAAAGAAATCGCGCCCTACCAGGGCGCCACCCCAGCGAATTTGAAAATGTTTTAGCGCAGAAACCTCCCCAGTAATATTCTCAACATCCTCCCAAAGTTTCATGGCGATCGTGTGAACGGTGTCACCGCAATTCACTTTTATTATTTTTATATACCGTATATAGAGAAAAACGCACCCTCACGTGGCGCCGCCCTTGCGAAAATAAAAATGATTTTTTTACACAACCCTTCTCCAGAGTGACCCAATCAACTCCCCCAAAGTCTCATGGCTGTCGGATAACGATGTCAAACCAAAATCGACTTTTATTTGTATATACCGTTATACCGTATATAGAGAAAAATCGCACCCTCCCGTGGCTCCGCCCTTGCGAAATTAAAAATGATTTTTACTGAACCCTTTCCTAGAGTTTTATAATGAACTCCCCAAAGTTTCATGGCGATCGTGTGAACGGTGTCAAGGCAATTCACTTTTATTTTTTTATACACGGTGTAATGAGAAAAATCGCACCCTCCTGTGGCGCCGCCCTTGTGAAATTAAAAATTATTTTTTACAGAACCCTTCCTCAAAGTGTTCTAATGAACTCACCAAAGTTTGATGGCGATCGAATGAATGGTGTCAAACCAAAATCGACTTTTATTTAATAAATAACAAATCATGCCCTGCCGGGGCGCCACCCCTGCGAATTTTTTTTTTTTCGCAAAAACCTCACCAGGAATATTCTCAACAACTTCTCAAAGTTTCACGGCGATGTGATAAGAGGTGTGGTAATGCATAAAAGACAGACAGACAGACAGACAGACAGACAGACTGACAGACAGACAGTCGACAGACAGACAGACAGACAGACAGACAGACACACACACACACACACACACACAGACACACAGACACACAGACACACAGACACACAGACACACAGACACACAGACACACAGACACACAGACACACAGACACACAGACACACAGACACACAGACACACAGACACACAGACACAAGGACACACAGACACAAGGACACACAGACACACAGACAAACAGACAGACACACACACATACATTGCTTTATATAGAGAGAGTTTAATCTTGTATACTTGTATTAGATCAGTTTCACTCAAGTTCTGTACCATTATACCAAGATTACACTACAAATGTTTTTAACTATGACAAAACCATTACGGCTAAACACGTATTACATGGCCCTCAGCGGCCCATTTGAGCCTTTGGGGGCCAAAACAGACATTTTTATTTGCAGCCTAATCGCACCCTACCAGGGCGCCAGAGGACACGCCTGATTCTATTTAGTAAGTGTTTGACGCCCCATCCTATCAATTGTCTATCACACTGTTTAGACCGAACGTATTCACCATAGCGCTCACGGGAAAGATCAGGGCGCCAAATCGCATACTGCCGGGGTGGGGGGGGGGGGGGCGCCCATGCAAAATTAAATCCCCCACCACCCACCCACCCCTATTCCCCCCTCCCACCCCAGAAACCTTCTCGGTAGTATTCATCAACTTCCTTAAGTTTTATGGCACCGGGATAAATTGCGTCGAACCGCAATCGTCTTTTATTTTTATATGCCGTATATTGAGAAAAATCCCACCATTCCGTGGCGCCGCTCTTGCGAATTTTAAAAATGATTTTTTTACAGAACCCTTCCCTGGAGTGTTCTAATCAACACCCTAAAGTTTGATGGCTATCGGATGAACGTTGTGAGACCGCAATCGATTTTTATTTTTATATACCATATATACAGAGAAAAGAAATCGCGCCCTACCAGGGCGCCACCCCAGCGAATTTGAAAATGTTTTAGCGCAGAAACCTCCCCAGTAATATTCTCAACATCCTCCCAAAGTTTCATGGCGATCGTGTGAACGGTGTCACCGCAATTCACTTTTATTATTTTTATATACCGTATATAGAGAAAAACGCACCCTCACGTGGCGCCGCCCTTGCGAAAATAAAAATGATTTTTTTACACAACCCTTCTCCAGAGTGACCCAATCAACTCCCCCAAAGTCTCATGGCTGTCGGATAACGATGTCAAACCAAAATCGACTTTTATTTGTATATACCGTTATACCGTATATAGAGAAAAATCGCACCCTCCCGTGGCTCCGCCCTTGCGAAATTAAAAATGATTTTTACTGAACCCTTTCCTAGAGTTTTATAATGAACTCCCCAAAGTTTCATGGCGATCGTGTGAACGGTGTCAAGGCAATTCACTTTTATTTTTTTATATACGGTATAATGAGAAAAATCGCACCCTCCTGTGGCGCCGCCCTTGTGAAATTAAAAATTATTTTTTACAGAACCCTTCCTCAAAGTGTTCTAATGAACTCACCAAAGTTTGATGGCGATCGAATGAATGGTGTCAAACCAAAATCGACTTTTATTTAATAAATAACAAATCATGCCCTGCCGGGGCGCCACCCCTGCGAATTTTTTTTTTATCGCAAAAACCTCACCAGGAATATTCTCAACAACTTCTCAAAGTTTCACGGCGATGTGATAAGAGGTGTGGTAATGCATAAAAGACAGACAGACAGACAGACAGACAGACAGACAGACAGACTGACAGACAGACAGACAAGACAGACAGACAGACACACACACACACACACACACACACACACAGACACACAGACACACAGACACACAGACACACAGACACACAGACACACAGACACACAGACACACAGACACACAGACACACAGACACACAGACACACAGACACAAGGACACACAGACACAAGGACACACAGACACACAGACAAACAGACAGACACACACACATACATTGCTTTATATAGAGAGAGTTTAATCTTGTATACTTGTATTAGATCAGTTTCACTCAAGTTCTGTACCATTATACCAAGATTACACTACAAATGTTTTTAACTATGACAAAACCATTACGGCTAAACACTAATACTAGACACTTTTCCTAACCAGGAGCTTGCCCTTCCTCGAAAGGGGGCACTTAACTGACCGCAAGTTACCAACTCTTTATATAAAAAATATATATATTTTAATATCATCAACAACACCCCATGAAAATGTGGGTGTTCGTAGACTGGGCCTCTGGGGTAACAGGAAAAAACACGACACATTTTAACCTAACGCTGCACTTTCACTACACATCTTAACCTAAACCTATACTTTCAATACACATCTTAAACTAACCATACACTTTCACTACACATCTTAACCTAAACCTACACTTTCACGCTGAGCTTAACTTTTTTTACACGTTTTTTACGATGTGTCAGCAAAAACTCCAAACTACTGTTTTTCTGTAGATGCTGTAAATAAAAAGCCTAGCATCACGTTTGCTGATTTGGATTTGAGTCATCTGGACATGTACGTCAACGTGTTCATCGACAGCGACTTTATTAGCAGAATTTTCTACAGTTGTTCTGAATGTTATTCTTTATCGGAAAGACGCTTTTCAAGGTAGGCAAATGTAAAGCTAGTTTGTATTTAATTATCTTAAAAATTATTAATACGTCATGAAACCGTTAATTAAACTTAGACAAAAACTGTGAAGTGAAATATTTTCTAATTTGTTTAAACAAAGGTAAAGTACCAAATTATTATTTTATTTAGTTACTGTCATGTTACCAAATAGTGCTTTTATAAGGGGATGTTGTGTTTACTTCTAAAATTAACAAGGTAAAGCACTCGCATTAAAGGCTCAATAAAGTACTATGAGTTAACATGTTATTTGTTATATGGCTCTATAAAGTACTATAAGATCACGTTATTTGTTATATGGCTCAATAAAGTACTATAAGTTCACGTTATTTGTCATATGGCTCAATAAAGTACTATAAGTTCAGGTTATTTGTCATATGGCTCAATAAAGTACTATAAGTTCACGTTATTTGTCATATGGTTCAATAAAGTACTATAAGTTCACGTTATTTGTCATATGGCTCATCTATATACTACTAAAACTCAAGTTTGTTTACATGTTTGAATATTTATTTGTTTTTTTGTTTGTTTTTTTGTTTGTCCGATCGAGTATTGTGATATGTTCGACTCTATCTGGAGAGCTGTAAAATAGTATGTAGGTAGAGAATAATTTTTTAATGCAGACAGACTGTTAATCACACATTTATTTAAAGACGTTGATTAATTTATTGATTTATTCATACGTAGAGTAACCCATTTTTTTTTAAATGTTAAAACATTGACTAAACTTTGTGGGAATAGTGACGTCACAGGTTTTTGTTTACTCTTTAGTACAATAAAATGGCGGCGTCTATCGAAGAAAATTGTGTTCCCATTCAAAAGTTTAACGCGTTCTAAATCTAATTTTCTGTCGGTCATAACTTTAACAATACGTCCGTTTGCTGTATTTATTACGTTCCAACACTTATATCAATTTTCAACTGTCTTTTTCATTTAGTTTTACGATAAATTTCTCTAGATCTAAAATCTGTCCAAGAAAGTTATTTATAGATCTAGATCTAGAATCTAGAATCTAGGACAATCTAGGTCAAATCAAAGATTTATTAGTTATAAATACAATTTAAAAAAACGAGACTTAAGCAAACCAGTCGTAGATCTAGAATATAGATAATTCTATCTAGATTTAGATAATAATGAGTTTCTATATACTAAACTATTTTAGACCTTTATTATTTTGTATAAATCTTTGTTTGGAATATGGTAATTTTGAAATGCTCGCTCCCGGGCCTATTGGTGTAGCTTAAGATTCATACGCGGCTTAGATGCCGGTAATTTTGCTAAATTATAAACGTAAATTCTAAATATAGCTCAGTCGTAGATCTAAAATATAGATAATTTTCTTTCTAGATTTAGATAATAATGATTTTCTATATACTAAACTATTTTAGACCTTTATTATTTTATATAAATCTTTGTTTGGAATATGGTAATTTTGAAATGCTCGCTCCGGGCCTAATGATTAGATCTAGATCTAGATTCTAGATCTAGCAAGAAAAACTAAACTTAAGACTTAAGCAAACGAGTCGTAGAATCTAATCTAGATCTAGATAATTCTATCTAGATCTAGATAATTTCAGACCTTCTTTATTTTATATAAATCTTTGTTTGGCTAATTTAAGATAAAATTTAATTTGAAAGTTACTACTACTAGAGTTAGATCTAGATCTAGATCTATGCGCGTAAATCAATTTGCATAAGGAGACTCAAAGTATAGTATAAAACTTCACTTGTGATGTCACGAGTAAATAGCTAAGTTGGTAATGAGGTCGGCTCTCATGCGGGTGGCACAGGTTCTAGACCTATTCGTCAATAAATTTTTTTTTCAATTTTTTTTTTCTAGATGTGAATGATAAAGTTGCCTATCTGAACTTGGCAGGATACAGGGCAGGTGAAGTAGAGTTCATCTGTTTCTTTGTCCTAAGCATATGAAAGGATAGTTTTTTAAACGATAAAAACATGTTGTCTGAGACTTGGCGGGACACTGGGCAGGTGAAGTAGAGTTGAGTAGGTCACATGTGACGTCAGTATATGAAGGGATAGTCCGAAATCGGTGTTTTCGGTGTTTTTAAAAGATAAGAAACATATTTTTGAATGTGGGGTCTGTTTTTTGTGACGATAAGTGACACTGCAGTAGCGTAGCGAGGAGGGGGGGGCGGGAATGGAGGCGGGGGGGGGGGGAAGGGGGAAGGGGAGGCGGGGGGAGGTGGAGGGGGGAAGGGGGGGGCGGGGGGACATATGTTGGGGCGCCAAAATGGTTTGGAAAAATAAATTGAAAGGTTGAGGGGGGTTCAAATCGAAAGTTTGAGTGGGGGGGGGGGGGTGCACATCAAAAGTTTGAGGGGGGGGGGGGGTTGAAAATCGAAATCTTGGGGGGGGGGGTTAAAATCGAAAAGTTTGTCCCCGGGCGCCGGGAAGGGTCGCTATGCCTCTGAGTGACAGACGTGATGTTTTTTGATGGATGACCCCCGAAACCCACAGTTATCCAACGGATGACGGGTATTCTAGTAAAGTACTATAAGTTCACGTTATTTGTCATATGGCTCAATAAAGTACTATAAGTTCACGTTATTTGTCATATGGCTCAATAAAGTACTATAAGTTCACGTTATTTGTCACATGGCTTAATAAAGTACTATAAGTTCACGTTATTTGTCATATGGTTCAATAAAGTACTATAAGTTCACATTATTTATCATATGGCTCAATAAAGTACTATAAGTTCACGTTATTTGTCATATGGTTCAATAAAGTACTATAAGTTCACGTTATTTGTCATATGGCTCATAAAGTACTATAAGTTCACGTTATTTGTCATATGGCTCATAAAGTACTATAAGTTCACGTTATTTGTCATATGGCTCAATAAAGTACTATAAGTTCACGTAATTTGTCATATGGCTCAATAAAGTACTATAAGTTCACGTTATTTGTCATATGGCCCGTCGACTCGTTCTGGATTTCCTTCTCTCGCCTTGCTCTAAAACAATATATAGGGCAGTAGTTGTTTACGTAGTTTTCACTTCTAGATGGAAGTTATCTGTAGATAGCGCGCCTCATCTGCTTGGGGTTCTAACTTGGGAGTTCGCAAACATGCGCCGTCCAACTCGACCACATCGTCCCTCAAAAGAGAACAATGCGTTGTATATTTCATGGTTATACTACAAGATAAAAATAAAATAAAATCAAAGAAAAAGCTGTGATATCTAGTGATACATACAACTTAGCTCCCAACTTTGGTTTATTTCAATAACCAAATACTGTGTATACTAATTTTTCAAATATTGTATTTCATTAAAAAATTAGGAGACAAAATTTAGAGAGAGGAGACAAAATGTAGATTATATTGATTGCAAGCTAATCTACACCACCTCGCTTATGGTTACAAGACACACATTTGAACTCAACCGTTCGTTCAAAGATCCATAAATAAGATCAATAAATAATGCGTACCAACAGTTTTAAGTCTAAGTTCAGTCACACCCTCCTGTTTTGCTGTAAACTGTTTAATTTTTAAGAGAGAATTTCGACATTCAGTCGTGTGTAATGTCTCGCTTAGTAATCAGATGTTATATAAAGTCAAATTGTCTGAAAAATTTTTTTATCTTCACGTCTTTATTCTGTCTGACTTATCGACAACATTTACTTAACAAAGTACTGTTTTCTCTAGATAATTTGTCATTGTTACGACTTAACGGATCATCTATCCGCCCCCCCCCCCTTCCCATCCGGGCCTTACGGCTAAAGCAGGCTCTATCTGCAGTCAAATTGGGTTTGAACTTTGTGAAGTTTACGGGTTTCGGTAAAACACAAGTAATTTAAGCACAATAATCATCCTTTCAATTTCTCAATACATTTTATTTCGATAGAACATCTGGATTTCGTGCCAGGCCTGGGGATGATTTAAAAATTAGCAGCCCAGAGAAACTGTGTGGGGACCTATGTCACAACAACAGAAAAATTGAAATATCCAGCACCAAGGAGAACATAATGGGTACAGTATTATTTATCAATATACTTAGATCTCATGTCTTTCAAATACAACTATGCATTTCTATTACAAAATCTCACACCTGTGAATGTGTATGTGTGTATGTGTATAGCACGAACACGCGCACACACACATACATACAAACATACATACACATACAAATATACACACATACAAACATACACATACACACGCACATGCACACACTTATATATGTGTGTGCATGCGTGTGTGCGTGTTCGTATTAGCCAGTTGACAGAATGGACAAATAACAAAATCTGTTCACATGCCACAAGACGGAACGTTCAAAAGGTAACGCAAAACAACAGGGCAACCATATTTTTTCAACAAAAGTGAAATACAACATGAGGTTAAACAAAAGGTCAACAAAAGTAAAATACCACATGAGGTGAAAAAAAAAGGTCAACAAATGTGAAATACCATATGGTGTTAAACAAACGGTCAACAGTTCATGCAAAGTTTGCAAACTTAAGGTGCTAAAATGCTAAGAAATCATTTTGAAAATATTAACTTTTAAACTCTAATATATAATAGAATCGAGTAAAAAAAATTAATGAGTAATATTTTATATGTATAATCTTCGAGTCTTGACCTACGTGAAAAGGTTGAAAATAATCGGTAGACGTTGTAGAAATTTATCTTGCATGTACGAAGACAAAGGAATCAAGTTAAAAATATATGAAATTTAGTCAACCAAGATCAAACGGTATTCAAGTTATCGTGTTTAACCCTTTATTTACGGAATTATGTTCTGAATGAAATTTTTACTTAAACAATGTGTTACTATATTGCTTTTGGCATATTCAAAGCATATGTCGAAGAAAATTTCGTTTCATAAATTTTTAATGGCCAAAACATATATTGGTACTTATAAGTACCGTCAGGAATGTAGGACATTTTTTTTCAAAAAATTATTTTTTACAAAACAGGAACAAACGATACAGTTTATTAACTAATAGCATGGCAATCATTATAACAATCACTTTTTGTAATTTTCACACATAAATACAGCACAAAAGTATATTTTGAGTACGACTTTTACTAGATTTTCTATTGGAACACATCTTAGACCTCAAACACAGCAAAAGTAGTCGACATGTCATGCTCCCTCAATCTTGTCTGTGGTCTTTCTGGTGCAGCAACGGTTGCCGGAATGAATATGCTTTTGCTGGAAGCTTCCAATAGCTAGTACAATGAGCCGCATAAGCAAACAAAAGCCTAGTCATTCAGCACACAACTACTAGTAATACTAGTATAATTGTAGCCTACTAGAATGTTATGACAAGTCTACACTATAGTGCAAAGTTCATAAATAGAAGTGAGGTCAATATGTTTGGGATAGCCATAGTGGCCTACTCTTTTATGTTTACTGATTAAAATTTACCTTATAGATCTATACTATATGATATATGCAGAAGTATGGAATATTACTAGTCTACATGTATACATTACGTAAATGCTAGTTATTGTAGGCAAGACAGTTTATTGCAGTAAATATAACTAAGAAATTAAATCTTACAACTAGAACTAGGCTTTGGTATACAAATGAAGTATACTAAACCTTGTAAACGAGCCTGCAACTGATACCTTTATTCTTGTTATTTTTTTACTACTAGAAATTAACATGTAATTACAATATTTCTTAGGTAAACCATATGCTAACCTTCTTATAAATGTGTATATAGCATTTTTTGAGTACATTTCGATAATTAATTATCAAGACAACATTTATGTAACTCCACATAAAAAATCTGCCATTTTCTAAAAATCCTAAAAAAAATGAACGTGTGCCCTGACGGTACTTATAAGTCCATTTGTAAACATCGATCTAATACAAAGACAATTTGATTAAAATTGTATAACTAGAAGTTAAACGCGTTTGCTTGACTATTGAAGGTGCCAATAAAAAATATTTGGGGTTGAAAACTTGAAAATAAGGTAAAACAAAGGGAAATCAAGAAAGTGTGTGAGAACTGTACAGAAAAATTGTGAACTACCAATCAGCATGACATTGAAAATGGTGCCACACCAGTAATTTTCAAAAAAACATTGATCCCTCTGACTAACAGCGACTCAGGGGAGATAATACTATTAATTACTTCAATAATTTTAAAATTCGTATTAAATTAAAAATAATACAGGCACTTTATTAAAGTGGTACTTATAAGTACCGTCAGTAGATAAAGGGTTAAAGAAAAGGAGACATACAGGCATACAGACAGACATGTTAACAGATTTTCGCGCACGTTTTCGAGTGTAAAGTAATTTATAAATAATGTTCGACATAACTATGGGCACATAATTTCATATTTTCCTAAATTTACATTTCAGGGGACAGCAGCTATTATTCCTTTTATTCTATCGTAACTAGTAAAGACAGCCAGGTGCAAATTGTATGGAGGAAACCAAATATGAGACTTCCAGGTCCGTAAACACTGTGTTAGACTTCAATATTGTTCATACAAAATATTATACTATAATCCCAATTTAATTGTGTCTTTATCAAATCTCCGTGATGCAATTTAGACATTGATTCAGAGGCGTAGCGAGGGGGGGGGGGGGCGGAGGTGCGGACCGCACCGGGTGAAACCATTTAGGGGGTGACACCAAAGCAAAAAATAGCAAAATATATAGAGAAAAACTTGAGGGGGGTGCAAATCGAAAGTTAGAGGGGGGGTGCAAATCGAAAATTTGAAAGTTTGTCCCCGGGAAGGGTCGCTACGCCTCTAGGGGAGACACCATTAAGTGCCGCACCGGGTGACACCCGACCTCGCTACGCCACTGCATTAATTAAGCTATTTCCAAATTAGATTTAATTATGTTTAGTTATAATTAATTTTAGCATGAATTATAGGCCTACTTATACATTTTAAAATTGTGAGGATTATAAGCAGGGGAACGGGCAAAGAAGAAAAGTTATGGTTGAGGCCCTTTGTTCCAAGTAGAATAAAGTGGACTAAAAGCTACTACTAAAGTGGATTACGTCCTACTACTAAAGCGAATTAAGTCCTGCTACTCTAACTTGATTATATCCCTTCCCCGATAGTGTCGTACACCAAGGATAGGATTGATGAATATCAGAACTATAAAGCAAAAGGAAATAGTACCCGGCACATGTTTCTGCTTCTGTTTTCACACACGAATGCACTGAATGGGGATCTATCAGTGAGGTAAAAATCTACATTCCAAAACAAATGATAGAATAATTATTTAATAATTTTTGCTAAGCCATTGTTATCAGAAGTAACGTTTGACTTAACTGTGGTGCCCCAGCGACATCAACTTGGGTTAAAGAATGATGAGATGATGATGATAAAGATGATGAAGATGTGATGATAAAGATGATGGTAATGATGATGATGTTAATGACGATGATAAAGATGATGACGATGATGATGATGATGATGATGATGATGATGTTAATGACGATGATAAAGATGGTGATGATGATGAAGATGAAGATGATGATAATGATGATGATAAAGATGATAATGGTGATGAAAACGATGAAAATGATGATGATGATGATGATGATGATGATAATGATGATGATGATGATGATGATTATGATAATGATGATGTTGACGGTGACGATGATCATGAATCTGTAACTAATTGTAAACCAATTGTTATTGTGAGAGCCCATGCCACTAAACGTGACATATGGCATTAAGGGGGGCCAATGCACTGTATGTGACATATGGCATTAAGCGGGCCCATGTCACTAAATGCGATATATGACATTATGGGGCAAATGCACTGAATGTCTTATATGACAGCAGGAGGATGGCACTTCCAGAGCAATAGAAATGTTTTCTATTCATGTATTAAATACTTAAATTGTAAAATCATAACTAGCCGTACCGACCAGGCCATGAACTGGCATTTATTGAGAGAAACGTACCTGTAAAAGGCAGTAGCTTGTGTGCTCATTACGTAGCATATACCGTGCGGAGCCCGAGGATTGGGAATATAGAATTTTCAATTATGCAAATAGGGACGTTCGATAAAATATAAAAACTAAAGCAATCATAAACGCCAACATAAACATAAACACAAACAAAAAGACACACGTAAACATAGACATAAACGCTAACAGCAAACACTAACGTAAACGAAAACGGAAACGTAGAGGCAAACATTACATAAACGCAAGCAGAAGCATACATATAAACGTAAATACAAACATAAACGGACAATCAAACATACACGGAAATAATTACACAAACGTAAAAATTAACGTAAACGCAAACAATAAAGCAAACGGAAACATGAAGGCAAAAATAAATGAAAACATAATAAGGACATTTAGAAGCTGCTTCTGAACTAGATTAATTAGTAAACAATTCAATTAGAAAAAAAAATGAAGGTAGAATTTAAAATACAATTCTTTTACCTACAACATTGAATTTTTTTTCCAATGATTTTTTGGTGTCGTGTACCTCGATCAAGGGAAATAATTTTATATAATTTTTCAGACACAATTATAATTTCTCTGATAGAAAATACATATAAATCGATTCCTTTTCTTTGCGCATTACGTCACTTAAAACGTTAAGTTGCAAAATAATTACTTATTTCGGAAATGATCAATATTGAGTTCTCTAAACATCAATTTAGATTTTAGTACAAAAATTATAGTCTATTTACTACATAAGTGTATATCACAAAAACAGAAACAATTATGCTACAAACTATAGTGTTACAAATAAACAGGGATCATAGATTACGTTTTCTTGAGAAATCGAAAGTAGCGTAAAATAATACTTCTGGCGCTATGTATGACATTTCGTCTAGCTAATTGAAGCAGTACTCAAATCATTTGTTGTTGTTTATTTATTTCTAGAAACCAGAAATTAAAAATACAGTGTAAAGTATATAAATCAAAACATAAGAAAGTGATCCAAGTATCAGATCATTTACATATATTTTAAATTTTGTTTATGTAACTGAAACACTTATCGTGTTCTCATGGAATTAGAATAAAGTACCATTTCCGATTACAGAAAATTGACCATAAGTTAATAGAAACCTGCGAGTACAATCTAATACTTGTATATGAATTATTGTCTTCTTAAATTTTATTGGTATTTAAGTACCAAGGGGGGCGGTAAAAATGTTTCGCGGGGGGGGGGGGGGGGGGGGCGAAGAGATGCCTGGAAGAAACTCTGCTCTTACACACATACAGACATGATTGCAAAACCAAGTTTTGCCGGCGACAGAAAGTTGAAAAATAGTGTCGGAAGTTTTTTTTCACGATGACAATACATCCATTACACTTTGTATGTAATAAAGTAGGTACATGTGAAACGGCGAAAACTGTCGAAATTTCATTACCATTTGCGCGCACGATTGCAATATATTCTCGATACTTAGTATAGGAGCAAGGCAATACAACATTTCTGAAATACCACTCTCTGTATAAATATACTATCGTTTATACTTGGCATTGTATAGGCAGACAGTAGCCTTATACAATGTCAGTTGTTCTAAACATAATTGTCCCTGATATAACAGAGTGGTAGCCGTATTGTTCTAATGGGTGAACACAAAAATCACTAATTTATACACATCAATTTCTTAACAGATCGTTAACAAGACAGACAGACTTACACCAAAAAAAAGCAATAGCTGACTTCTAAAAAGTTTTATATTTAAATGTGATGTTAATGTTTTACTTACACGTTAAACAGCTACGGTTGCACGTAGTACAACTATAACCGTACAGGATTAAACATTGTATTCAGTTCACTGATTTAGAATTATTTTTAAAAAAAACATCAAAGTTTTGACAGTTCCTTCGGTATCGACCTCTAAATTTAAAATTCCCACTCCCAAATTTTACATTATATTCATATATAAGAAGGTCGCACGTTAAGTAAAAATTAAATTAGATTTCTACACTATTATGTTTCAGTACTTCTGGCCTTGTGAATATCCCTGAAGTTTTCAAACTACGAGCGATCAGTTGGCTGCTTTTTGAGCACCAATACTTTACACCACATGGTGGGTTGATAATTTACGTTTGGTAGATGACATACTCGACATTAGTTTGTAGGTTACGCGTTGTTCATTTGTGGATTAAAATCTTGACCGTAGTTTATAGATTAAACACTGGCCATTTGTAAATTTTAAAAATTGCATAGGTGATTAAATTTTCCGCTACACACCTGTTTTTAGATAACTCAAACGCTTTCATTAGATGTAGTCCTGGCTCGTTATTTTAAAACAAATTATTGGACACGCGTCAACAATCCATCGCTACCTAGAATATTTAGATCAATATAAAAAACAACTGTGTATGCAGTTAACTACTACTGAAAACTTTTGTCCCCACGGAATCAGATTGTACCGACCCAAGTCGATCGTGTCCACCCAATGAGCCGTATCAACGGAATGATCGCGCCTACAACTTTACGTTTAGCGAAAGCTCAGTGGAGGCGATTGGTGATACTAAACCGCCAACATATTGTCTTCAGAATGACTTACCAATTCCACCACCACCACCACCACCAACAACAACAACAACAACACACGCACCACAGCAAACCCACGCACCACAGCCACCGACTAATAAGTCCGTCATGAATTCATGCAGCTTTCGTTGCGTGATTTGGTTGTTGGTGTATCTGATGTGTTGACGCTGTATGCTCTTATAACTGGTGGTTCTCTTTTTCAAGACGTATGCAGGCGTTAACATCTTTAAACAATACACTTTAAAAAATACACCATTTATAAATTAACTTTTTTTTTCAATTAATTTAAAGTTGTTAATCCAAAAATATTATTTCTATTAATAAATAAAAGTACGTTACACAAATACAGAAATGTGGCAATTCTTTACCATCGTGTCAACGTCGGAACTAATAGACACATAATTAGACAACACAAGTAAAAACATGATGGTTACATGATGCCTTACTGAACTGTTGGGCGATATTCACCAAATGTTATTTTTTTTTACAGTGGTCATAGTTTAATTTAAAATTCTTGGTTTTGTTTTAAAATATATTTTTTCAGTGCAACATTTCATTTGAAGCTGTTAAGAAGATTAAAATTTATAACTACGTTGGTCGAGTATTTAACAACTGAACAAGTTGTTCACGTGTCGACTCCTTTTTATGTTACAAGTTACATGTCCCCCTCACCCCTCCCCCCCCCCCCCCCCCACCACTCTTCAAAATTGAAAGGAAAGCAACTATAATAAAGTTAAAAAAAAACAACTAAGAAATAGTGCATTTAGATTTCTTTTTGTTTATAATTATAGTTAATTGTTTTTTTGTGATTGTTGAACTTGCAATTTGATCAAAATTCGGGGATGTTTTTTTTAAAAGGTCACAGCTAGTTATTCTTAGCCCCCTTTTTTCTGTTAGTTTTTTTTTTAAAGACGATTTTAAAAATTAATCTGGCAGAAATATGAAGACAACTAAAATACCAATGACTAGATTAGTCAGTTTTTTGTTTAAATTAAACCTACAGCTCCAGAAAAGTGTGGACAATTTTCAAATTCCCGAGAAATTATACGGCATCAAATAGAAGCCGAGAAATCGAATAGTATTTAATAGTGTATACAGTGAAATTTGAATTCATCTTTTTTTATGTAAAGAGAAAAAACTATTTGCTACAATTTATACAAGTAATACTAACAAATTTAATTGAATATAAATGTTTATTTAAATTGTCAAAATAATAAACGATCGTCACACAATCATCACACGCAATAGCATGCAAAATTCCCACACACTCACGAAAAAAATCAATATAATATAAGGATTCACATCTGAAAATTTTACATAGATAAACGGTTTTATTATTTAAAAAAAAAGGCAAACAAGAAATGAAAAGAAACGGAAACAAAACTTTTCTTACACTATGAACAAAAGAGCATTCTGTGAACAATTCTAAATACAGGGCATGTAATACTGGAGACTTTTAAAACAAAACATTGTTAAGTTTTCAAGCCATCCTATAGCTAATCGAACTTTTACAGATTTTCAAATTTAAAACTTTGATGTCAAATATCTGCTCAATTGAGATGCTGCTAGGTTCAACATAGATCGTGTGAAATGTGTATACCATAGTTTAACATTTCAACATAAATCGTGTCAGATGTGTATACCATAGTTTAACATTTCAAAATGCAAGGACTCTATCAATAAAACAATGCTACATCCAAACAGACTATAGAAAGATAAAAGTCGTTACGAAATGAAATTTATATAATCTATACAGAAAATATATACTTTTAACAGTGTCCGCCCCCCCTCCGAAGAAAGTCTGCCGCCCCCTAGAAAATTTCAAGTGCCCCCCCCCCGAGCAAAAAGTCTGGAAGAAACACTGCACGCAAACACACGCACACACACATATACACACACATATATATATATATATATATATATATATATATATATATATATATATATATATATATATATATATATAGGCCTATATATATATATGAAATATCCTATAAAATGTATTATTAACATCAACACTCTATGTATGTTAAAATAAATGTTAATTCTATGGTTTTACCGTCCATTCTTCCTCATACCTGCTGCCTTAATGTACCTGTTATCTTAGACCTGTTGGCGGCTGTCTAGCCTGGTATTATGTTCCGCACACTTGACGGCACACGAGCTCATTACACTGGTGTGCGTTAAATAAAAGTACCTGGCTTTAGGCAAACACAGTGGGCCCTATAGGGGTGTCGTGTTGTTTATTAGGATCAGCCCCTACACACCTTAACCCTAAGTGGGTGACCATCACACACACACACATCCAATGAAGAAGTGTTACTATATATGTGATGCTAGTATGTGTGTATAGGTCTGCGTATATGAATACGTTTGTGTATGCGAATATATGTATACGTGTAGGCCTACATAGCCTATGGGTACGATGTGTAACTTGACAATGTGAAATCTAAAGACTAAGTAATAGAAACTGAAAACATACCTCGCACATTGTCCCACATATACATAAGAAAATTCCCTAATTAAATCCTACACAAAACAACAACAGACCACACATTGGAGGTTTTCAACCATGGCTTCCGTATTGATTTTATTGAGAGTGGAATCAATACACTGTTGACGGAATTAAAAATAGTCGCAGGCAAGTTGTCATGCATGACTGTGTCATAGCCTACATGACTGGGTCAGTTCAACCTTAGGGGCTTTAACAGAGTTTCTTCAGCCCCCCCGAACGAAATGAAATTTATATAATTTATATAGAAAATATATACTTTTAACAGTGTCCGCCCCCCAAAGAAAGTCTACCGCCCCCCCGAAAATTTCAAGTGCCCCCCCCCCCCCGGAGAAAAAAGTCTGGAAGAAACACTGGGCTTTAATAAATTACCTAAATAACAATCTCTTGTTTACTTTAAAATTGTATTAAAATTCTATTGAAGTATATTACTTTTAGGAGGTTCATTTATTTTACTTTTTTTTAACTTAAAAGTTTCGATATTCTTTTTTTCTTAATTATGACATTACCATACAGGGATTTATATAGATCTTTACGAAAATATAAGCAGTGTTTCTTTTAAATCAGTCATTACTTCATATACGAACTATTTAATTTAACGTCGATTCACATTATTCGGTTTCAGTCCTTTTATAAGAAGTCAAGTTATAGAAAACAGTTGTATTTCCTTCATTTAATCTAATTAAATATGTGTTGCTCTTTATATAATTGGTAATTAATTCAATAATAAGTTTTTAACAAACAACTTTTTATTACAGGAGAAAGGTTGTGGTCTCAGTCAGAAAAACCTGCGCTGGATCTGACGTTCCAATTGCTTTGAAGTGCTAAAATTTATCTGGCAGTGATCTTAGTCGTACTATGTCCAACATTTTCTAAATTTAAAAAAAACAATAAACTTCAATAATTAAAATATTGTCTTGGTTATTTAATCGTATGAGTTCTTCAAATTACATTTAATAGTAAATAGATTTCTTGGTCAGATTTTCATGACAAAACATCTTTTATATGCAATATGTCTTCTATATATACCCCGATATATGTATATATATATATATATATATATATATATATATATATATATATATATATATATATATATATATATATATATATATATATGCCTATATTTAGAAAATTAGCAATATTTTAAATAAAATTCTGGTTAACATCTGTTGTCTTTATCGAATTAAAATTAATCCTGACCTTATTTTAGACAACAAAATTCCCGATATTCATTAAATTTGAAACCGGAATTTCCGGTATTACCACCGTGTTTACGTGTTCTAGTATTATTCCCTAGGTTACGACAAAAAGTAATGTCACAGAACGATGTATGTAGGTCTTATCACTTTTTTCAAATGTTAATTCATTGTTTTCGATAGAGCGCAGTAGTTGTTTACTAGCAGATTAGGACACAGCGTAAAAGAATAAATATAAATTATTTCTTAACATATATTAAAATACTAAAACTTATTATTTACTTAACATCACGCCCCCCCCCCCCCCCCCCAGACATTTTACATTTTACTTAGGGTACATTTGAAACTATGTGTGTATGTGGGGGGGGGGGGTTAAAGTATATATTTTATATTTTAATTTTATTTTCTACTTAGTCTGTAGGTTGGGAGTGTACAGCACTCCCTCCCTCCAACCACCCACCCCCCCCCCCCCCCTAAGAGTAGCATTAAATATGCTGTTGTGTTTTGGTTTTTTTTTAGAATAAAATTTAAAAATTATGCGTTTATTGAAAATGAAATAAATGTTTGTTTACATTGTTTCAGATTAAATTATGGGAAACAGAGATACATAATTAAGAGACAGATTTCAGGTGTTAAGTAATTCTAAATCTCATTTTATAAATCGGTGTGTCCATGGATTTAGACTTTGTCGGTAAGTATTGTAAGTAACTTGATTAGGTTTTTTAAATTTTAAATGTATAAAAAAATTAAATTTAGATTCTTAAAGTAATGCAGCTTACATTTTACAACATACACAGAGGTATGTAGAATTTTAAAGCAGGATTTTTTTTTTACCAACAGAGGCTTGTGTTTCTCCAAATTTTCCGAAGAATTGGAGAAAAGGAAAAGAATTGGGCTCTGGAGCATTTGGTAAAGTGTTCCTTGTCATAGATGATGACGATCCTTCTGATGAAAAGTTTGTTGTGAAGGAAGTAGAGATTGATAAAGTTTATAAAGACAGAAACCAGGTCTGATTTTTAAAATGTAATTTTAATTAACAAAACTAATAACAAGTTATGATTTTTAAAATGTAATATTAATTTTCAAAACCTAATAATCAGTTGTGATTTTTAAAAAGTATTATTAATGCACGAAACTAATAACCGCTAATGATTTAAAAAATGTAATGTTAATTCAAAAAAGAAATAATAAGTAATGATTTTTAAAATGCAATATTCATTTTAAAAACTAATAATTGGAAATGATTTTTAAAAATAATATGAATGTAAAACTAACAACCAATTATAAACTTATAAAATGTAACATGAAATAAATTTTACTTTTATACAATATTATAGGAAATTAACGAATTGAAAGCATTGGTTCAAATAAAACACAAAGGAATAACGCCATTTTACGGATTTCATCCTCTCAAAGACACTTTGCTAATATTTCTGCAGTATCGGCATTTGGTAAGGTCATTAAAGTATAACTGCAAAATGATTTTATTATTTGTAATTTTTCGTATCAATTGTTTACATTTAGAATTTTTTAACAGGGCTCAATAGCAAAACGCATTGAAAGAGACGGCTGTTTGCAAGAGGAAATTGTAAGGAACTACACACGCCAGATCCTGGATGCTTTAAACTATTTACACACTAGGAACCCTCCCATCATTCACAGATATATTAAAGGTGTAAATTAAAAACATCTATTGCGTCTTAAACAAGCGAAAATATATATATATACTGCAACAAGACTTCATTTTCAATTTAATCTGCATTAAATGTTAACGCAATCTAAATAGATTAATAGAAAACGTCTAAAGCGGAAATCCAATTAAAATACAATTAATGTTATCATAAACATAAACTGTTTTAAAACATTACATGCATATATTTATTTCTTTAATTGTTTCTGTATTGTTACCTATTATAATTAGTAACAGTTTAGAATGTTATGTGTTATTGCACAGTTAAAGATCTATTTTTAATTTCAGCATTTTGAATTTTTTAATTTGAGTAGGCCTATATAAGATTTGTATAAAAATCTAGGAAAAAGATTTACAGATTATGGTTTTTAAATAATTTTACCTCTCAAGATTATATTGCTTATTTGTACTATCAGGAGTTTATATTGGTATAATATATTTAATAACATCTTGATATTCAGCTAATTATTTGAACTTATTTTTTTCCAGGAAGAAATATATTGCTAGTAGATGAAACCAACATTGAAATAACTGACTTTGGCATCTCGAAGGTTTTAAGTAGCCAGACCAACGCAAGGTCTCAGGTTGGCACAATAAATTACATGGCCCCAGAGATAGTACTCGGGGAGAAGACAACTCCATACAGCGTCAAAGCTGATATATGGTGAGAAGGTTATTTAAAATTCAAAACTAAGCACTACAGTTTAAAATAATTTTTCCATTTTATTGTTTGTATTTTGGTTCCCTTCTTTACAATTCCAAACATTTTTTAACATACTAAATAATTTTTAAAAGTATTTTTAAAATGATAAGTAACGCACGAAAGAAAATTCACACATTTTTTTTTTATGTGTGCATTATATTTTTCTTCTGTCCAATTAATTAAACTCGTCATAATTACAAATTAAAAAAATATTTAAGAACAGGGTTAGAGAGACTTTTGATACAGTTATATATCGATTAAAGATATACTTTTTCAGGTTTATAAAATAATTAAAAATGTATAGTGCATCGCTTTTTGTCAAATGCAGGAGTGTCGGTTGCACAGTTGTTGAAATGATAACCAAGTACCCTCCATTTCATGGCATGCGAGATGATGAAATATTTTCAGCGTTAAAAAATGCCGAACCATTGAACTACACTTTACCAAACGATGCCTCTGGTGACCTGAAAAGTTTTCTTTCAAAAACATTTCAAACTGATATACAACACAGACCAACAGCTCAACAGCTTCTGAGCGAGGATCAGTTTCTAAAGCTTAATTAAATTTATTGCTTCTAATATTACGTATGTAATATGTATGTATGTATGTATGTATGTATGTAGGGAGTATAAATCTGTGTTTTTTTCCAGTGAATAACATTTTTTAAAATATCCTAGTATACTGTTTGATAAACCTGAATTCGGGTCATCACAATATCATTTACCGTTAATTGTCCCTTTTATGGGAAGTAATAAAAACTTGAAGTTATAAGGTTATTGTTATTTTCAAAATGTGTTTCAACTGATATATGTAAAAGAAACAGTTTCTTACATTAAATACAATTGTACATACCTAAAATTAATTTCAGAAAAATAAAAACAGTGTTTAGATAATGCATTTAAATAAAGAGCAAATCTGTTTTCTTTGACTCTGATTATTTATCAACAATGAAAATATGCTCCAGCAGTTTTTCAGCAGATGGTCTTTCACACGGATTTCTTTTAAAAATCCTCTTCAGAAAATCTTTCAGAGCATCTGAAGCTGATTGCGGTAACTCGTACTCTGGCATTTCATTAGCAGCTATTCTACCTTTTACTTGAAAGCAGCTATAGTCCTTTGCATAAGGTGGCATTCCAGTAATCATTTCAACAACAGTGCATCCAATGCTCCTGGGAAAAATAATATACATGATTTGAAATATTTAAACTTATTTTCAAGTAATAAATAAAAACAACCGAAATACGAAATTAATCGTATTATCATTTTGAAATAAAAATATCAATATTCGGCTGTACACATTTTAAGATATTATATATATATATATATATATATATATATATATATATATATATATATATAAAGAGAGGAAGAGATTATATATAAAAGTGGATCTTATTATGTCATCAGTGTGTATGCACACAAAGTGAGATTACAAACATTTTTCATCTTCGCAACATACCAAATATCTGCCTTTGTTGGATAAATAACAACGGTTTCTGTCTTTAAAACCTCTGGTGCCATATAAAATACTGTTCCCACACTGGTCGACAAATCAATGTTCCTTTGATCTTTTAAGATTTTTGATAATCCAAAGTCAGAGATTTTAACTTTTGTCTCACTTTGCATTAAAATGTTGCTACCTGCAATTAAGATTTTCTTTTTTTTTTAATTAAATTGTTTCTATTTATATCATATAAACTTCATTGGTTTTCCAAAAACGAGACATTAATCAATAAAAACACATAAGCAAATATTATTTTCAATACTAAATTTAAAATTGGTATGTAAAAATTGCAAATGCTAAAAAAATTTCATATAGCAATAGAAACACCTCTAAAGAATCATTGTATTTACGGAAATTTTAATTTAATGATAGTAAAACTATTAGCAGCTAGTATAATCATAATTGATCATCGAAATAGCTACATACTTTTAATATCTCTGTGCAATATTCCATTTTCATGCAAATATCTTACACCTTGTAAAATTTGTGAAGTAAAATGTTTTGCCTCCTCTTCTAAACAAACGTGTGATGCAATGTGGTCTTTTAGTGTTCCCTGTTAAAACAAAGTATAATGTATATTATGGAATTCATCTGCATTTTACATCAGATTTACGGCACAATTATATACATTTAAATATCTTTTAAATATTTACGAAAAAAAAGTTAATATTTCAAAGATTGCCGAATTCCAAATCTAGTATCATGTCAGATGTGGGGCTTTTTTTGTAAATTATTCTATTGAAACTAATTAGAATTATACCAAAATATAGATTTTTAAAATATATGGTTAATTTTAACAAGTTAAAAATTAAAAATATTTTAATTATTAAAGTTTCATGACTGACTTTTATATATATATATATATATATATATATATATATATATATATATATATATATATATATATATATATATATATAAAGCAAAGTATATATATATATATATATATATATATATATATATAAAGCAAAGTGGTCGGGTGCCCGATAGGGCACTTCCCGGCGCCGCAGGCGCGTCAAATTTGGCACGATGGTGCCTTGAGGCGATAGAACACGGGGGCCGGTGAAGGTTTGCCGAAAAGTCTACGGACAGGGGGTCAAAACTGACCTCGACTGACAGGCGCCTTATATGGGCTATATTGCGAAAAAAAATTTCCTCCGACGACCCCCCCTTGATATTTTGTGAGGTGGTAGGAGAACGCCTGGGGGTGTCACAAAAAACTCGGCATATCTGGGAAAACTTCGTAAAGGGGTCAAAACTGACCAGTTGTATTTCCCTTTATAATCTTTGTATTTTATGGCAAAAACAGAGAGTCATTTCAACGCGGATTTTAGGGTACTTAAACTCAGTAGATCTGGCTAATGTTTTGCATACTCTTAGGTTAATGGCTTGACCTTTAGGGAAAACTATCGGTTTGACTCAAATCCCTCGACGAGGGCTAAAAAGTGTCCGCGAGTGAAATTCTCTTGATATGAGCTCTATTACGAAAAAAAATTTCCTCCGACGACCCCCCCTTGAAATTTTGTGAGGTGGTAGGAGAACGCCTTGGGGTGTCACAAAAAACTCGGCATATCTGGGAAAACTCCGTAAAGGGGTCAAAACTGACCAGTTGTATTTCCCTATATAATCTTTGTATTTTATGGCAAAAACAGAGGGTCATTTCAACGCAGAGTTTAGGGTACTTAAACTCAGTATATCTGGCTAACTTTTTGCATACTCTTAGGTAAAAGGACTGCGATTTAAATTCTCACTATACGAGATTATGTAATTTGGTCTATGAACAGGGGCGGTAACTTTTTAATGTAACAATTTTTTTATATTTTGTATACTCTTTTTAAGAAAAAAAACAAAAATCATAATGTATAGCATTGTTTTAAATGGATATTTTATTATAAATTAAGTTTTGTATTGTATTGAAATTGTACAATTAATTGCAAAAGTAATTTAATATTATATTTGATTAATAATTTTTATGAAAGCCCGTTCTAATAACCTTGCGAGTAATAAGTTTGTGAATATTCCATCAATTTATGGGCACAATAAAAGTACCCCACTGTATAAATTTAGGCCCTAAGCATTTAACATAACAGCCAATCACCTATTAATTAATCATTCAATTTCTCAACTTTTTTGAAAACCTAAGCGAAGCTAGGCAGTATGCCTAGTATATATATATATATATATATATATATATATATATATATATATATATATATATATATATATATATATATATATATATATATATATATATATATATATATATATATATATATATATATATATATATATATATATATATATATATACATGTTTGTGTATATATGGCCTATAAATGTATAAATGTGTGTGTGTTTCAGTGGTAAACTTAAATTCGGATAATTACGATGTCCTTTCAATTGTATTGACCAACGTTTAAATAGATTTCATTGACAAGTTGCTTGAAAAAATAGCACTTTTTAAAAACATAACAAATATATTTTTTTTCTGATAAGTAACAGACTCATAACACATTAAATACCATTTGTAGATACTCTAGGAATATTATGAATGCATCATTCTGTATTTCAAAACCATGGAACTACAATATTTTCATGATGCACTTTTAATAAAATGCTGGCTTCCTGGTGACAAATTATCTGAAAATAATTAAATGGAAAATTGAACAATTAATCTTTATATTTAAAATAGCTTACTTTATACAAAATGCAATTATTTGTTTGTAATTATTTCGTTGTTTTTTCCAATTTTGAGCCTTTTTAACAATATTTTAACATGTCTAATAGGTTTATTCTATATCATTTACAAGTTTTAAAATGTGCTTTGACGAAATGGTTGGTCAACATTTTATTTTCTTAAATAAAATGTCCTGTAGCTTTATTTCAAGTTAAATTGAGAACAGCACAATATGAAATATTAGGGAAATTCATTCTTGTACATTAAAATTGCAACAAAATAAAAATGAAATGTCTTTTTATTTGTAATATAAAATTGCTGGTAAAATAAAGAGCTAACATATTCGCCTATAGGAATTTTTACTTTAAAACCCAACAACCACACTTTTAGTACTAACTTTATTTGGATCCCTTCGATTCCTTGAGACATTTATTTTTTTCGCCACAAAACAGCTTGGCTCACTTTTGCTATTATCTACAACTAAATGTACCGATCCAAAAGATCCTCTGCCCAGGCTTTCACATTTTATTTCGAATTCTTTTGGAAAATCACTAGAAAAAAGCTGCCCTATAAGTAGAATGTCAAATGTTTAATATGTGCACAAATAAATGTAATAAATTGTAAAAATTAATGAAAATGTTATATGTTGCAATTGAAATTTAATTTTTATTATGGAAATGCGTACTTAAAACTAGAAACGCTTAAAAAGACATAAGTATTTGGTTTTTACTTGCCAGCAAACTCAGGAAAAATACCAGACGTATTGCCAGATTCCCACAATACAGAATTCACTTTACTCTTAATAGAGTCGGTGGCTTTATCTTGCAAACTTGATAATGTTTTAACAAGCATTTTATCTTCAACTATTTTATAACTTTCTGTATTATGAGTAGAAATAGCTTGTAAGCATTCTATTGTAGATTCCAGTTCTTCTGGCTCACTTTTTTGTAATATTGTGATAAAAGTTTCAAAACAAGTTTTTATCTGAAAATAAATATTATCAAAATATCAAAATTATTTTTAATATAAATAGTGCTTAAGAAAAATTAATTTAATGAATATCACCTAAAAACTTCTTTTAAGTATAAAAATAATTAGTAAGTATTGCAGTTTAATCTGTTATCCTTATATGTTTGAATGTTAATAAATTATCTGTGACCTTAAGTTTAGTTTTCTCAGATATGGCAAGTTTCGCTAAGCCTTTAATCAGCTTTATCAAGCGGAATCCTTTGTGTTTTCTTTTATCTTTTGCACTTGCATATTTAATGTAGAAGATGAGTTTCTCTGTTTCAACTTCTGATAACAAAAACATAACATATAATTGAAATTTTAAAAAAAAAACTACTTCTATTACATATTTATAATAGTTTATATCTGGATTAATTACTTTTCAAAATAAGAAAAATATGTTTTTTTATTTTTAACTATATACAAACGCTATATTTAAGAAATAGCTTATAATATAGCTAAATAGGTCCATACAGTAGCTTTTAACTAGAATAAATTAAAATGGAGAGTTTATGAAGTTTAGAATACGTTTCTATTAAATACAATTTTTTTTCAACCATTATCTTACCATCCAAATGCATTTCTTCAGAAACGTTGTCAGATACCATGGAAAACAGTATTTTTATAGTCAATACTAAATCAATGCTGTTAAATTGCATATAGTATTTTAAAATCTGAAAAAGAATAATAATAATTTAATTGTGTTGATGTATGCCTCAGGATTATAAAAAGAATAACCTACAATGATGGTAAACTATACTTTCCATATTTTCATAGTGTGCATAGGTAGTCTAAATGTATTTAACAAAATAAAAATAAAATTATAAAACAGTAATGAATTCAACAAGAACAAATTTAAAAATGTTTGTAAATACTAAGCTGCTCTAAGTAGCCCTAATTATAACTTTAAAATTTCATAAACTCAGACTAATCAACTTTATAAATTATAAAATTCTACGGAAGAAGTTATTGAATAGAATGAATAATACATATCAAAATTATTAAATACCTCAAGTTTTGGAAATTGTTTACAGTAATTTTCCTTTCCCGACAGCTGCGATATGTTCAGTAAAACTGTGAATAACATGAACACTATCTTCAATGGCTTCTGCACGATAAAAATAAAATAAAAACATGTGTTTTTTTTTAAATAATTTATTAATTAAAATATAGTCTAAATATTTATAGATAATTATAATGGTTAGACGTTGTGATCAAACACGTTACTTACCATTTTACCAATATTTTCTGTTAGAAGTTCAGTTGCGAGTATTATAAATCCTTTATCTGCAAGACACTAAGCATAAACAAAATCTTAATGCAAAAGCAGTTGGATTCTCGTTTCTAGAGCCCACATCGCTAATAGCTCGGTTCACACATAAAAGTTGTATTGAAATAGAAACACGTTATTTTAGAAGATTTACAGTAAGCTAGTTGATAATTAGATATAAGAATGAGTGATCATATTTAGTTTCAATAATGCATTTTATCGTATATAAGCAGGTAATAAGGGGATCGAATAATAACATTTATGAGTGGTTGTGTATTATTCAAATGGAAACTCCAAAAACGGTTCTAAAATTTTATTCGTCCTACACCTCACCTGTGTGAAAATGTTACTATGATCACTTAATGTGACAATGACTTCCAAACTATTCGTTAAAACAGGTAAACTAGAGGTCTGCACTTCAGTCGATAGAAAACCTTGTTCTTTCAGAACCTTTATAGTTGAATCTAAAAATAAAATTCCATGAAATATATATATATATATATATATATATATATATATATATATATATATATATATATATATATATGTATGTATATATATATATATATATAATTTTGCACAAAGTATATAACACAATACATTAAATATATAATATGTAAAGTATGTAAAGGTATATATTATATTCGAATGTAATACTGATTTCTAGATAGACAATTACCTATGTATCCGTGTTTGGCAAGAAAATTACCCGTCTCTTGATTCTTAGTGTATCGTTTTTTTACTGTCAAGTTAATACACTTTTGAAGTAAATAAAATTGTAGTTGGTCAAATGAAATTTCTGATAGAATTTGAATTGCCTCTTTAATTTGATCTTTGATGTCATTAAAACTCAGATCCTGAAAATATCACATCAGTTATTAGGTCATTTTAATTGAAAGATTTTATATTTAGCCACGTATGCCCGATTATAGCTCATTGGGGTTAAACGTATTTTAAATTCCTGGCCTAATGTCATAGAGCATAAATTTTAATTACTAGATTTGCAAAGAGAGCTTAGTCTTTTAATATATTCAACATACAAATTTTAATTAACTTAGATTTCTTTTTTTTTTATTGTTACAATATCATTATAGTTCATTTAAATATAAGTCCATTATGTAGCAAAATATTTAACTACTAAGTATGAATAGTGCATATTTTTTGCTTTAATCTCGTTTTTATAGACAACGTTATTTTAAAAATATTAAATTAGAACATGTTAGCAGTATAATGATATTCAAATATATTGACCTGTTGTTTTACTTTAGAAAAAATATCTTGAAAAAGGGCAGCTAATCTGAAAAGAATTATAAAACACTAATCAAATGGTATTCTTTGAAGCAGACCTACAAACTATTTTCCTTAAAAATCTTAAATAATCTACATCTTAAATTTAAAACATAAAATTAAAACTTAAAATTGTATTAAGATTATTGAAATTGTAAGTAGGCTAACTAAATTAAACATGTTTAATTTATTTATAATTCGTAGGATTTAAACATTTCAATTATTTTGAGTTCTCAATTGTTTTCCAATTTAATATTTCAGTATTTGAAAATGATTTATTTAACAATTATACCTGTCATTTTTAACGATTTCTGCCTCAACTGGAAGGTGGGTTAAGTTACTTCCTGATTATAAAAACAAGTTATATTTTTATTGAGCACAAAAATATTTTTTTAAATATACCTAAAACCTTATATTTAACAAATTGTTGATTTTTGCAATTTAACCATATATTTAAATGTGTTAAAACTATTCTAGAAATAAAATTTGCACAACCTGCCAAGTTTTCAGTCAACGAAAATAAAACGTCCCATAATAGTTTGTTCTTTTCTTCAAGGTTGGCACCATTTTTAATCAGCAGTCTGTAGACATCGAAATGAAGATGTTCGGCAGCATAATAGATCGCCGTACAATTGTTTACATTTTTAAAATTGACGTCCAGTCCATGTTTTAACAACAGGTCCACTATACCCACATGCCCTTTAGCTGAAGCCTTCATTAGAACAGTCATACTATTTGTTGACACGCAGCTTAAGTCAATATTGCTTCCCAAAAGTATATCTACAATCTCTCGATTTCCTTTTTTAACCGCAACCATAAAAGCATTTTCCCCATATTCATCAGTCATATTTAAGTTGATCCCTTGCTCCAGTAGTACTTCAACTGTGCTGATGTGATTTTCTTGTGCAGCTAACATGAGAGCGTTGCTTCCATCCTTACCTTGGGAGTTTACCTCAGCACCGGCTTCTAACAACAACTCAACAATTCTTGTGTGACCCCCTTCTGACGCCATCAGCAACGCGTTCCACCCATCATTGTCAACTAAATTTACATCCGCTCCGTAGCGTAGTAAAATTTGTGTTGCATCCGTGTATCCATTTTGCGCGGCTAAAATTAGCGCATTGCAATTGTTTTGGGCCCCTTGGTTGATATCAATACCGTAGTCCAGTAAAATCTCTATCGTGCTGTTGTTTCCTTTAACCATGGCTAAAACTAACGCATTCCAACCCTGAAAGTTAACATGATTCATATCAATTTTATTTGTTCGAAGTAGAAGCTTCACTACATCATCATGTCCAAAAAACGAGGCCAGCATTAAAGCGTTCATCCCATCTCTATCCGTATCAGTAACATCAATATTTGTGTTCAACAGCAGCTCTACTACTTTTGTTTTACCATGCAACGCTGCTATCATTAACGCATTTCTCCCTTTTTCTGTTATCCTCAAAAGGTCGACGTGTGTGTCTTTCATCAACACTTCAACTACTGAGTCGCAACCTGCTTTTGATGCAAGCATTAACGCATTAAAATCTTCCATGTTCAAAATATTTGCATCTGCTCGCTGGTTGAGCAAACTCCGAACAACATCTGAATGTCCTTCCTGGGCAGCCAGCATCAAACTACTCCAACCATCTTTCTCAACGTAGTTAACTCGAATCGATTCTTCGTGTAGTAACAGCTCCACGGTTTCGTATCGACCGAAATATGATGCCAACATTAACGCGTTATATCCTTCGTTGTCAACAGCATTGACGTTAAATTTATGTAGTTCAAGCAACAGTCTCACAACAGCTGAATGTCCGTACGCTGAAGCAATCATAAGGGCATTTTGGCCTCTCTTTGATGTGATGTTTAACTCACAATTCCATTTCAACAACTCGGATATAATCTCGACGTATCCATGTTTTGCTGCTATCATGAGGGCATTGAACCCATCGTTATTTACTAAATTTACGTCTGTTCCTTTGTCTAAAAGTAACTTGACTGTACTAGCGTTTCCCTGTTCTGTGGCTAGAATTAGCGCGTTATCTCCCTTAGTATTCACACAATCAGCCTCTACTGTATAGAGAATATCACAGAGAACTGCGTCATGTCCATTTCTAGCTGCCAACATCAAAGCATTTAAACCAAAACTGTCGACACATTTTAGATCAATGTGTGTTTCCTCAAGCAATACTTTCACGGCACCAGTGTGTCCCCTCTGCGCAGCAAACATCAAAGCATTTCTACTGAATGCTCCACGAGAAAGCGCGTCACACCCTCTCTCCAGAAGCATTCTGATGATTTTAACATGCCCCACTACTGAAGCTAGCAGGAACGCATTCCATCCTTCCTTATCAACGACGTCAATGTTTATATCTCGCTGTAGCAACACGTCTACAGTCTTCACATGACCACTAACCGTTGCTAACATTAAAGCACTCCATCCATTATTATTAACTCTATTCACATCAGCGCCGTTGTTCAACAATTCCTCTACAACATCCGTAAAACCATTTTGAGCTGCCAGCATCATAGCAGTAAAGCCCTCATTGTTTTGTCCATCCACTTCCTCGTACCCAAAAAGGATCATTTCAACAATACTTTTATATCCCATAAAAGAAGCGATCATCAACGCATTCCAGTTTTCATCATTTTTCATATCCAAATCCGCTTTGTTTTTTATAAGCATACCTAAAATTTCTGTACCTCCTTTTAAGCACGCAATCATTGCAGCACTCCAACCTTCTTTGTTTACCATATTGATCTGTACACCTTTGAGAATCAATAACTCTGTTGTATCTTTGTCCTGCAGAAACACAGCTATCATCAACGCACTCCATCCTTCCCTTGTAACACAGTCTATGTTTACATTTTCTCGCTGGAGGTAACGTTCCATCGTATCAAAGCCGTCCACCACAGCCTTGAGAAATAAATCATCAGAAGATTCTAGAACTGCTGGCTCACAACTTCCGGCAGTGGTGGGAGAGTCTGGGGTTGAAACAGATGTCTCCCCAATGACATTTACTCGGTCGAAATGTTTCGCTTGTAAAAATGTTAAGTAGTCGCAGTTCTCATCTGCTGTTGTATTTGTTGATGCATCGTTCATCATGGCAGTCTCCATTCTAAGGAGATAGTATAACTGTTTAATGTGTAATATGCATAAAAACGTATGTAAATAGGTATATTATATATATATATATATATATATATATATATATATATATATATATATATATATATATATATATGTTGATGTTACTGGTAGTAGTAAATTCATAACTATAAGAAAATTTTGTTATGTGATCATGATTATGTGAACATGGTTTATTTTTGTTGCATGTTGCATTTAAATAGAATATTAAGCTCACATCAACAGATTGAGATGTTGTATCCTGGACCCTCAATTTCATGAGAGTAACCGAAGTATAATTTTGTCTATCATTAGGTGCTGTGTTTTGTAGTTTCTATTATTAACTCATACATTATGTTATCATAATTAGATCTTTATATCTCCGTTAGTATTGGGCATTTAAATTGGCATGGCTATCTTTAAATATTCACAAGAAGGGACTACCGCATTTTATGGACTAGGATAGCGATTATAGTTAGGTGTAGGCCAATATATTTTTATAGTTATGTACAAAATATGTAATAAAGGTAGCATTGTGGGCCTATTTGAAAAGGCCACACGGTCATTTAGAAATGCATTGTAAATGTTCTAGTGACTTGTATTGGCGAGTGTTTAGCCTGTTATGTTTTTCTTTACTAATTATAGGGTTAGACCGTCCATTCTTCCTCATACCTGCTACCTTAATGTACCTGTTATCTTAGACCTGTTGGCGGCTGTCTAGCCTGGTATTTTTTTTTATTTATCAGTTACATGGTTCGACTGTTCATTCTTCCTCATACCTGCTGCCTTAATGTACCTGTTATCTTAGATCAGTTGGCACCTGTCTAGCCTGTTATATATTTTTTTATTAATTCTATGGTTTTACCGTCCATTCTTCCTCATACCTGCTGCCTTAATGTACCTGTTATCTTAGACCTGTTGGCGGCTGTCTAGCCTGGTATTATGTTCCACACACTTGACGGCACACGAGCTCATTACGCTGGTGTGTGTTAAATAAAAGTACCTGGCTTTAGGCAAACACAGTGGGTCCTAAAGGGGTGTCGTGTTGTTTATTAGGATCAGCCCCTACACACCTTAACCCTAAGTGGGTGACCATCACACACACACACAAACACACACACAAACACACACACAAACACACACACACACAAACACACACACACACAAACACACAAACACACACACACAAACACACAAACACAAACACACACAAACACACACACACACAAACACACACAAACACAAACACACACACACACATCCACCGAGGAAGTGTTACTTAAGCCTGTGTTGTATATGTAATGCTAGTATGTGTGTATAGGTCTGCGTATATGAGTACGTATGCGTATGCGAATATGTGTAAACGTGTAGGCCTACATAGCCTATGGGTACGATGTGTAACTTGACAATGTGAAAACAAATAATAGAAACTGAAAACATTTTACCTCTCACGTAGTCCAACATATACATATGAAAATTCCCTAATTAAATCCTACACTAAACAACAACAGGTCACACACTGACGTTTTTAAACCATGGCTTCCTTATTGATTTTATTGAGAGTGGAATCGATACACTGTTGACGGAATTAAAAATAGTTGCAGGCAAGTTGTCATGCATGACTGTGTCATAGCCTACATGACTGTGTCATAGCCTACATGACTGTGTCATAGCCTACATGACTGGGTCAGTTCAACCTTAGGGGATTTAATTGGTGACCTAGATAACATGCTCTAGTAAGGTTAAAATGTATTAAAATAACAATAGATCTATGTTACTTTCATTTTTACTTTTTTTTTTTTAAATTAAATGTACCGCAATTCTTTTTTTTTTCTTAATTGTGACCTAACCTAAAGGGATTTATATCGATCATTAAAAAAATTAAGTTAAATTCTTATTATTCCCTGCTTTTTAACTACGGAAACCCTGCGCTACATCCACCCATTAAAAATTTTACTCTATAAATCATTTAACATGAGTTTTATGATGCAGGCTACACATATAAAATACTTGTTACTGGTGAGTTTAAATTGATAATTATTACAAAGCCTAATATGTATCATCAAGAGGAAGGGGGGGGGGGGCGGTGTCCAGAATGGATGGTGGGCAGAGTTTCTTCCAGGCATCTCTTCGGGGGGGGGGGGGGGGAGTCACCCCGAAAAAATTTTACCGCCCCCCCCCCCCCCGAACGAAATGAAATTTATATACTTTATATAGAAAATATATACTTTTAACAGTGCCCCCCCCCCCGAAGTAAGTCTACCGCCCCCCAAAAATTTCAAGTGCCCCCCCCCCCGGAGAAAAAAGTCTGGAAGAAACACTGATGGTGGGGAAAGAGGGAAGTCAACGTATCCGATAGACGTTATAAGTTTCATGGGATGGCCCATTTTTTATTGAGACTCACACCCATATTAGTTGAGTTCTCTCAACTCCTAGAAAAGAAAATCCATGCGGTCTTTAGTTCTTCGAGAAGACTTCGCCTCCAGGTATGACGGGTGTACCCTCCTTCACCTACCCCGGGGTCACATACAATCATAGTACCATTCATTTTATAAGTTTTTTTTTTATTCCAAGAGCTACATCCATCCCGCCGTTAAGATGTCAATGCCACCCATAGAAGCAGCATTTCAATCAAAACTTTGAACATGATACACCTACAATATCGCAGTATGAACTGACACCTCAAACACATTTATTTCCAACGAAAAGCAGTCAATAATACGTCGACAGTTATTAATTAAATCTTAGTCAAGATCACGTTCATTTATTAAACCATACAGTCAAGACCTGATGGGCACCTTACTCATGTTAGGGAAAGTAAAGGCGGCTGGGCATAGTGCTGACCACACTATCTCTTCATATGCCGAGGCAGTAGCGTAGCGAGGGGGTGGGGGCGGGGGGACATGTGTCCCCGGGCGCCGACCTTAGGGGCGCCAAAATGGGTTGGAAAAATAAATTTGAAAGGTCGAGGGGTGCAAATCGAAAGTTTGAGGGGGGTGCAAATCGAAAAGTTTGTCCCCGGGCGCCGGGAAGGGTCGCTACGCCTCTGTGCCGAGGTCACAGAAACCAGTGAACTCTACTTCACTTGCCCTATAGACCGTCAGGTTTAAAAGGGAAACTTTACTTTTTTTTTACAATCAAGATCATGTCCAGTTATTAAACCATACAGTCTATAACATAACTAATACATATAGTACAACGACTTGCATTAAATAAACATAATATAGGGCCAACACTGAATATTTAAAATAATTTTTATTTACTAAAAATAACATTTTTAGGCAAACTCCGAGAAAAAACATAATTGGTATGTTTAACAATAACAAAAAAACAAAACTGAGCAATGCACACAAAACAGAATACTATTTATGCCACATGAAATGTGATGACCCTTCTTTCAAAGGTAATGAACACATAGGACATAGCAGGTATGGAACAACATAGTATAATTTTTAGTGCCTTACCCTCTATGATCCTAAAAATGGATGATAAATTTTTTTTAAAGTATCAGTATGTACAGTAATTAATAATTTTGTAACATCAAATATTTGTTTATTGTTATTTATATCATACTTAAAAATACCAATACTTAAAAACAGGCAAAAACAAATTTGAGTACATTAAAAGATTGATTTTAAAAAAAAAATTTCAATCTCAAGTTTTCAAGAGATTAATTTTAAAAAAGTTTTCAATCTTAAGTTTTCAAGAGATTGATTTTAAAAAGTTTTCAATCTCAAGTTTTCAAGAGATTGATTTTAAAAACAGGCAAAAACAAATTTGAGTACATTAAAAGATTGATTTTAAAAAAAATTTCAATCTCAAGTTTTCAAGAGATTAATTTTAAAAAAGTTTTCAATCTTAAGTTTTCAAGTGATTGATTTTAAAAAGTTTTCAATCTCAAGTTTTCAAGAGATTGATTTTAAAAAGTTTTCAATCTCAAGTTTTCAAGACATTGATTTTAAAATGTTTTCAATCTCAAGTTTTCAAGAGATTGATTTTAAAAAGTTTTCAATCTCAAGTTTTCAAGACATTAATTTTAAAAAGTTTTTAAACTTAAGTTTTCAAGAGATAGATTTTAAAATGTTTTCAATCTCAAGTTTTCAAGACATTGATTTTAAAAAGTTTTTAAACTTAAGTTTTCAAGAGATAGATTTTAAAAAGTTTTCAATCTCAAGTTTTCAAGAGATTGATTTTAAAAAGTTTTCAATCTCAAGTTTTCAAGAGATTGATTTTAAAAAGTTTTCAATCTCAAGTTTTCAAGACATTGATTTTAAAAAGTTTTTAAACTTAAGTTTTCAAGAGATAGATTTTAAAATGTTTTCAATCTCAAGTTTTCAAGACATTGATTTTAAAAAGTTTTTAAACTTAAGTTTTCAAGAGATAGATTTTAAAAAGTTTTCAATCTCAAGTTTTCAAGAGATTGATTTTAAAAGTTCTTAAACTCAAGTTTTCAAGAGATAGATTTTAAAATGTTTTCAATCTCAAGTTTTCAAGAGATTGATTTTAAAAAGTTCTCAAACTCAAGTTTTCAAGACATTGATTTTAAAAGTTTTCAATCTCAAGTTTTCAACAGATTGATTTTAAAATGTTTTCAATCTCAAGTTTTCAACAGATTGATTTTAAAATGTTTTCAAACTCAAGTTTTCAAGAGATTGATTTTAAAAGTTCTCAAACTCAAGTTTTCAAGAGATTGATTTTAAAAGTTCTCAAACTCAAGTTTTCAAGAGATTGATTTTAAAATGTTTTCAATCTCAAGTTTTCAAGAGATTGATTTTAAAATGTTTTCAATCTCAAGTTTTCAAGAGATTGATTTTAAAAGTTCTCAAACTCAAGTTTTCAAGAGATTGATTTTAAAAAGTTTTCAATCTCAAGTTTTCAAGACATTGATTTTAAAAAGTTTTTCAATCTCAAGTTTTCAAGAGATTGATTTTAAAAGTTTTCAAACTCCATAAAACAGGTAGGGCTTGTTAATGATGGCAAGTAAACAGTTAATTAAAATAAACAAGAAACAGAGGTTAAAAAGTGTAAAAAAAAATTTTTTTTAAAGAATTTGTACTAAAGCAAAAGCTCAGATTACAGTGTGGACAAGCATCTAAAATTAAAATCTCTCAGAACATGAGCTGGCAGTGGATGTCTGTAACTGAGTATCAAATTGTGAGGTTGTTTCATTAGTTTCATATTTCTCAATAGCAGCATAAAGAACACACACATAATACTAATAGGTATTTTACATGTGTAATTAACAATTCTTGGGGCAGCACTATTACACATGTAATTAAATTGATTACATTTAAATTTAACAAGATATGTGTAGCAGAACTATTTCATATGTAATTAAATTGATTGGATTTAACAACACTTTTACATTTGTAATTAATTTGTCTAATTATAAAAAACTATTACATGTGTAATTAATTTAATTAGATTTAATAACACTATTACATGTGTAATTAGCTTAATTAAACTAATTGAACATTTACAGTGTTGCTACAATGTTAACACCCAAGTTTTGCCCACACCAAGAAACATTAATAAAGGAAGGCAAATTGTGTTTATCCCAATTGTAATTCATCCAAAATATTCAAAATCACCCCTTTCTCATACAGATCTACTCCCATATATTAAAAGGTTAAAATCTTGAGCAGTAAAAAAAATGTTTACAATTTTGCCTACACCAAACCAAACAACATTTCACAAAAAAAATTTTTTTAATAGTTCAAGAATGTAAACTTTGCTTTGACAATTTGCTGGAGTAAATGTGCAGGCAATATTTAGTGGGTGTAGTCCATCCACAGTTGGACAAACAAATCTCATAAACTTTCTCTTCTTTCTAGAAGTTAAATGTTATTTCAATGAAAGTATATGATGAGGGCTAATCTCAGAATATCAGCCTCCCTAACAATCTCCTCTCTCTTCCAGTTCCTCCTCTCTTAAGGCCCTCCCTAATATAACCAATAAGCTCCATCCTACCCCAATTTCTAAGTATTAATCTCCTCTCTTCCAGTTTCTAAGCTCCACCCGCCTCCATTTCCTTCCTAATAAGCTCCTCCCTCTTCCAATATCTTCCTAATAAGCTCCTCCCTCCTCTAATAAGCTCCTCCCTCTGCCAGTTCCTCCCTAATAAGCTCCTCCCTCCTCTAACAAGCTCCTCCCTCTGCCACTTCCTCCCTAATAAGCTCCTCACTCTGCCAGTTCCTCCCTAATAAGCTCCTCACTCTGCCAGCTCCTCCCTAATAAGCTCCTCCCTCTGCCAGTTCCTCCCTAATAAGCTCCTCCCTCCTCTAATAAGCTCCTCCCTCTGCCAGTTCCTCCCTCTGCCAGTTCCTCCCTAATAAGCTCCTCACTCTGCCAGCTCCTCCCTAATAAGCTCCTCCCTCTGCCACTTCCTCCCTAATAAGCTCCTCCCTCCTCTAATAAGCTCCTCCCTCTGCCAGTTCCTCCTTAATAAGCTCCTCCCTCTGCCAGTTCCTCCCTAATAAGCTCCTCCCTAGCCTCCTCTAGCTCACACTGGGCGTTGTCAGACAATTTCCTGACATCCACCAACTCTCTCTTCAGTCTATTTATAGAGTGAAACTGTTCTTTAAATGTTTTTTGCAACATGTCCAGCTCTAGGCTCTTCTTCTCATAGTCTATTTTTAACTCATCAATTTTCTGCCGCTGTGTTTGCAAATGTTTTTCATAAGAATCTAGGGCGGCAGCTTGCTTTTGATGTTTTGAACGTAAAATTGAAACATCGCGTTTTAAATTTTTTATCAAAATTCGCCGTCTTAACCTGCGAGCTAGCAGTCTCTCAATTTTCTTGTCAAGGTATTTAAATCTTTTGATCTTGGGGTCGTTTAATGCGTTTTGATATTTCGCAATCTTTGCACGTAGCTGTTTGTTAATCTCGGTTAATTTATCGTTGGATGTTTCAACTGGATTAGCGCCTTCATTGCTGGGTGTGATTTTAATTTTTTTATTTTTCCGTTTATATCCGGTGTTAACCTTTCTGTCCGTATTCACGGCAACAGACTTATTGCATGTGGTTTTAAATTTCCTAGTGTTAATACAAGGTGAAGCATCATCCTCCGGTGTGGCAATACATTTTTTGCCCTCATCCGTGGATTCACCATCCATCAACTCTTCGCTTTTATTCCCATGAACTGCTTTAAACGCTTTAGAGACGTGTGCTCTGCCCTCATCAGTGGATACACCATCCATCAACTCTTCGCTTTTATTCCCATGAACTGCTTTAAACACTTTAGAGACGTGTGCTCTGCCCTCATCCGTGGATACACCATCCATCAACTCTTCGCCTTTATTCCCATGAACTGCTTTAAACGCTTTAGAGACATGTGCTAACTGATAAATGGACACGGGTAATTTTTGCAGGGCTTGGTTCCCTTTTAAGTTCCCCCAGGAAAAAGGGATTCTGAAAGGTTCCTCTAAGAAGTGGAGTATGTTAGACCATTCTTGCTCAGGGATACACTGTTTACCTGGCGTGTTTGACCATATCTTGCCAGGTAAACATTTTTTGACTCTGTAAATCACTTGATTTATATAGCTGAGAAGAGTTTTCCGGTTATATTTGTAATTAATGTTCGTGTTCTGATCAACCAAAGCCTGGAGTTGCCTCATGGTACAAGTCAGCACAGATTTGTTGTCAAGGTACATGCAGACCACGTGGCCTTTTTTGTACGCAGTCGTCGCCTTGTAGTTGTTGTATGTGTAGATTAAAGCTCTCAAGTCTTCTTCCCTGTGCTGGGGAATGCTGGCCTCGACTTCCATAGCGCTGTCTCAAACTGGTCCTTGTGGTGTCTGGAAGAAAAAAAAATTAATTTAATTTAATTAATTAAAACTTGATTGATAAAGTATTAGATTGGAATCCCCTGGGGAAGAGGAAAGTAGGCTGGCCTAAAAATCTGGAGGACAATTGAAGATGAGGAAAGGGTTGCCGGTGTTAATAAAGAGAGCTGTTCTAATCTAGTTCCAATGGAGAAGTAAGGCTGCAATGCTTTGCTCGGCAGGGGCCCCAAAACAATAAGCGAAAGTGAAGTGATTGCTAATGGGCATGATGATTTTTGTGTTTCAAATGTTTTTTTGTTACATATGACCTTTTATTTATTGTTGTACAAGAGTGAGCTCCACACACCTGTTTCACACAATTTCTAATTTGATATAATTAATTAACTGGGACTTGTACTAAATAAAACTACCAGCTGAAGAAGAGATCCTACAGAGAAAATGGAAATAGATTGGCCACACAACCAGGAAGCCTGTATCCAGCATAACAAGACAGACCTGAGATAGATGAACCCTAAAAATCAATAATACTTTCCTGAAATTAACTGATCAGTATTTTAAAATCAATCAATAGCAGATTATGAGTCAACTGCCTTTTTTAAAATAGGAAATCAAATATAAAAGAAGCTTTAAAATGATGTCTGTTCCATCCTATAAAAGTTGTTAATTTACTATGTACAATACAAAGAGTATTTTAAGTGACAGACGTATTGTTTCTAAGGGTAACTAGAGTCAGTAGGGCATATCACAATCTTCCTAGCTCTGATGGGCACATACATGGTCAGTAGGGCATATCACAATCTTCCCAGCTCTGGTGGGCACATACATGAGTCAGTAGGGCATATCACAATCTTCCTAGCTCTGATGGGCACATACATGGTCAGTAGGGCATATCACAATCTTCCTAGCTCTGAAGGGCACATACATGAGTCAGTAGGGCATATCACAATCTTCCTAGCTCTGATGGGCACATACATGGTCAGTAGGGCATATCACAACCTTCCCAGCTCCGATGGGCACATACATGGTCAGTAGGGCATATCACAATCTTCCTAGCTCTGATGGGCACATACATGGTCAGTAGGGCATATCACAATCTTCCTAGCTCTGATGGGCACATACATGGTCAGTAGGGCATATCACAATCTTCCTAGCTCTGATGGGCACATACATGGTCAGTAGGGCATATCACAACCTTCCCAGCTCCGATGGGCACATACATGGTCAGTAGGGCATATCACAATCTTCCTAGCTCTGATGGGCACATACATGGTCAGTAGGGCATATCACAATCTTCCTAGCTCTGATGGGCACATACATGGTCAGTAGGGCATATCACAATCTTCCTAGCTCTGATGGGCACATACATGAGTCAGTAGGGCATATCACAATCTTCCTAGCTCTGATGGGCACATACATGGTCAGTAGGGCATATCACAATCTTCCTAGCTCTGATTAGCACATGCAACATGGTGTGTCAGCAGTGGTCCCCACCGTGACAAAAGTCAAAAGGGAAAGGGCAGGAATAATGAGGAAAACACATTTGCTCCATAGGTTTAAGTCATGGGAAGAAAAAAAAAACGCTACTTCATATGAAGTGTAGTTTATCAAGTCTGACTCAGAATTGTAGGCCTACTTCACAATATTAAAAAAAATATTTTGTCCAGTAGAACTCAATTTTCAAAAGACACTTCTAGTCTAACTTCAAAGCACAGACATACATTACAAATAAATATAAAAAAAAAATTCTCTCTCCTTATAATTATATTCAAATATTTTTATTTCAAAATAGTAGCATCCTGACCAATAAAAAAAATATGCTTTTAAAAAGTCAGGACACATAAAAGTACTTTTATACATAACTAGTTTTAGGCATAACAAGTTGCAATAAATTGTAAAGACCAACATTTGCTCAAGAAACATTTAACTGTTACCTGTCTAATAGGCTTCTAGGTTTGTCATTTAATTAAGGTATAAGTAGTTGTTACCTAAATAACTTTTCATTTAATGAGTTAAATTTACATCAGTATTAATTATTTTTGAAAATGTTCATAAATTGGAGTGCCCTACATTTTGTTGAAAAAATTATTTAAAAAAAAAACAACATATATATTAAAATTCAATATTGGAATTATATTTTCTTGTAAATTGATGTCAATTTAGTGTTTTGAAAACATTTTTATTACATATATAAAGAGAATACATAATTTCGAATTAGTAAAAACTTTACTTACTTATTAAAGGCCAATTTTAACTTTATAACTACATGTCAATTTCCTGTGGCAACAAACTTATGATTGTTGAAACGCTAAATACTTCTTACTTCATGATATAATCAACGAGACAAATGAAATATTCGGGGAATGGACATTAGGCAGTTGGCTTTCTGGGGACTGGCTTGTGAGCAATAATCTTAGAACCCTTAAGCTATTTATAATGAAACATAAATGCCATACAGGCTAACTAATTATAAAGCACAGAAAAACTTGATCACAAAATGATAAAATTTCTGTACATGGAACTTTTACATCAATAAGTATTATAAGAAAGCAAGATATCAGATTAAAACTGATGAGTTTTTAACAAGGCTAAAAATGATGACGTAATTTTCTTTCAAAATGATCAAAATGCAGAAAAATGAATGTTTACATTTCGAAAGATAACAGTGATTTATTTGATTTTCTAATCATTCAAACTCAATTAGCATCAGATATACTATATAATTATCTACAACAATATTTTCCAGCTTTGTCATGCATGTATTCAATATATATATTTTATACTCAACAGCATCAGAATAAGTCAGTGTTTCAGTTATGTTCATCCTCAAGACTAAAACATCAGAATTAGTCAATGACAACACACAAAACACAACACCATCAAACACAACACCATCAAACAGAAACAGTTAACAGCATCAGATTCTGTCACTTCCATCTTAAAAGATACATCAAATTTAGTCACTATCACTGGCAATATTTACTAACACAATCAGATTCAGTTTCCTTCATTTTAAACACAAACATCAGATTAAGACACTATCTTCTTCTAAAGCTGAACACCAACACCATAAGATTCTATTACATCCATTGTAAACACAAACATCAGATACAGTTACTCTCATTGTAAACACAAACATCAGATACAGTTACTCTCATTTTAAACACAAACATCACATCCAGTTACTCTCATTTTAAACACACACATCAGATTCAATTAAAAAAGTAGAAGTAAAGTTCCCTTTCAAATGATGGTCTATAGGGCAAGTGAAGTAGAGTTCACCTGTTTCTGTGACCTCGGCATATGAAGAGATAGTGTGGTCAGCACTATGCCCAGCTGCCTTTACTTCCCTAACGTGACTTAGGTACCCATCAGAGTTGGGTGGACTCAGGGACGGTCTACTAACTTAAACCCGAATTCAAAATCGAGACTTACGGGTTAGCAGTCCAGCTTTCTAGGGCTTGCCACTCCATCAATTCAATTACTCTAATTTTAAACTTCAACACAAACATCAGATTCAGTTACTATCCTCCTCAACACTATCACCGGAGTTCATCAGAGCAAACAGCTCATCCGCCATCTTCTCATTCTCCTCCATGAGCCGGTGGTTCTCCTCCATCTGGGCGGTCAGCTCTTTCTTCACCTGGGAGTTCTCTTTCGCCAGGAAATCGTTGCTCATAGCCAGCACCGCTATAGAATGCTCTGTATCCTGCTTGGCTTTAACCACAGCTTTCTTCAACTCCTCCTCATGCGCGTCTATCTTCGCCCTCAGCCCAGACACAACCGCCTGGTGCTGCTGGTCTATGTTCTTAAGTTTACTGTGCATCTCCTGGTACAGAATTTGATAATTCTTCACATCTTCGACAAGTTTTGCCCTGGCGGCTTCCTTCTGTTCCAGCTGTTGCTGATACTTGACCAGCGCTTTATCCTTCTGGTGTTGTAAATCCACCTTTAACTTATCAGTTAGTACTGACTGTTTCCTGGGCTCTGGGTGTAGATCTCTTACATGCGGCTCCTGCAGAAACTCACACTGTTGCTCCAGCTCCTTGACCCTCTCCCGAAGCTTTTGAATTGTTCGGAGTTTTTTCTCACACCCCTGGCAAGGCGTTCGGGATGGCTTGCTAAGTTTAATTGTCTTAGGTCCAAACATTGATGGCGTCACAGGCTCGTTAACGCTGAAGGCTTCGTTTAGACTTTTTTCATGATGTGATCCTTTATGAAGTGACACTTTTCCTGTTGCTGTTAATGAATTATCAGCTTTGTTCACGGATTTCATTGTAGCTTTATCGGAGATAGACTTGCTTGTACTGGCTGCATTATGAGCAAAAGACTTGCTCGTACCAGCGGCGCTATGAGAACCGCTCGTTCTTCCTGCATTATCAGCAACAGACTTGTTCCTATTTGAGGAAATGTCCGCAGGAGACTTTCCCATGGAGGCGGCAATGAACAGCTCAATGCTGTCGTCGCTCGTAGAGCTTTCGTCTGATGATGACAGCTCGTCATGCATCAACAGATCCTCTATCTCATCATCATCGTCTGACTGGCTGCCGCCCTCCATGACCAGGCTACATTTCTCCGCAGAAAAGCTGACGTTGCTGAAATCCTTTCTTACATATTGCCTGCAGGCCCCAGGTTTCTTTGAGGTTCTATCGTCAAATGTGACAAACATCTGGGCCTCCATATTGAGCTGACAAAAAAGCAGGAAACAGAATTTAACATTGCAGAACAGACAGACTGACTATACAACAAAGTAATAAATTTACTTACAGGCAATACACAATTGTTTTCAGCTCAAATTATTTGTTTAAAGCAAACTAGAACAATATTATAAATGAGTAATAGTAATCCTGTACAACTGTTAGTAATAACAACAGCAATCAACTATTTAAAAAATGCTATTAAATATTAAACTTACTTTATTAGTTGCAGCAACACTCAGCAAAGAAGCAATCGTCCACTGAAAAAAAAAAATGGTTATCATTAGAAACCCATTTAAAAATAATTTTGAAATGCTCTAAGTTAAAATTAGCTGTACTTGAAGATGTAAAAAATTTAATTTAAAAATTAATGACAAAAAGAAACAAACTTTGTACTTGAATGCAACAACGGGCAAAAAAGGTATTCTCATCATATCATTATTTTAATGAATGGATTATTCTCATTAAGTGAAAAGCCTGATTTCAACCTATGGACTGGTTAATAGATATATCAGATCACAATCTACATAAGCAAGACGTTTTGAATTTAAAAAACGACAAATATCAAATTTACCTTAATTTTAACTGCAATCACCATAATTAGAAACAAAATCTTGCCGCAGTTTCCTACAGTTGAACATATTTATTGACTAGGGCTCTGCCAGACTGAATCACAAGAAAACAATTGCTGGGCAGTTTCCGAGCAGACCTCTGTACATGAAAGGTTTGGTCAGGATGCAACAAACTGACAGAGATTCTGACTTTGAAATAAAGAACTACATAGAGGACAGATAGAAAAACCTCTAGGTTGAATCAAAGAACATTTTATATTTCTTTTTTGTGACGTGATATTAATTCTGTTCTCATTCAATTTATGAAAGTTCTAATTTAAATGAGGGATAAATGACTGATCTTAAAATTAAACAGATTTTTAATTTAAAATTATTTTAATAAAGTTTTAACTTAACTCACTGATATTTAATTTGTAGAAAACACTTTTAAAAAAAGTTACAATTTTACATGTAAACAGGCTTTTCACTTTTAAAGAGAATAAATCATTAAACACTTTTCCACATTTTATGTCTACATAGATAATGATTATAAGTAAAAATTGGTGAAATACTGTACAAATAGTAGATCTAGTAGTAAAAATACTGACCTTAGCCAAAGGTATTTTTTTTTATCTGATAACATTGCTCTTAATGTTAGGACATGGTTTAAACAATTCTCCAATAATATAGGCCTATAGTATTAAGTACCCATTATTTGTGGGACGTGTGATTGGATGGTGTTAACCTAATGTTTCAACTTTGTATCACAATCTAGATGAAAGTCTTTTTCCATGAGTCTACCCAGCAAAAGCAAAAGTGGCTAAAGTGGCTAGGCTAAGTGTTGTCCACTTCATCCTTTCAGATCCAGAGGTCAAGAAACATGAACTCTACTTCATCTAACCTATGGATCAATTTGTCAGAAAGGGGAATTTTACCCATTATTTACTAAACATTGGGTACTTAATGGAATTTCAAACAACACTGGCAGAAATTGACAACATATGTCTAGGCCTAAAACTTGCATTATGCCTAGAAAAAAGTATGTATGCATATTTTTATATAACATTAACTAGTTGCGAGTTTTTTTAATTTTTTAGATATGTTATACATGTGGCAAGTGTAAGAATACTAACAGCTGTATATGGTTCAGCCCACATTTCAATTGGAGACCTATACTGTACTAGTCACAAGTGTTAGCAGAACTAAGGGAGCAGAAAACTGAAAATTTACTAAGGCGGGGGGTAAAATGGTACAGAAAGTTTGTTAACCTAGTTAGTTAACCATCGAGATTCTAACTAAACAAACATTCAAGAATTGTCTGTTAATGTTAGTACTATACGATAAATTTTCAGTCACAACAAACATAATGATTGGCAAACTACTAGCCAGACTAGCACCATGTGAAATGTAAACCTACTTAAGCTAATTACTAAAATCTTCTAACAGCTTTTGCTTTACTTTCATTAGACTTTAAGCCTAATTGAAATTGAATGACATTTTAAATAGTAGGCTAGACTATAGAACATTATATAATAGATTTGAATACAAAGATGATGATAGACTTAGCCTTGAAATAAGTCATTAGCATATTATAATTACAACGAGAAAAATGGCCCGTTGAGGAAGGATACAACGGGCGCTAGGCTGATAGTGCTGTCTCTTTCTCTAAACTAAAACCACCCCACCCCCCCCCCCCAAAAAAACATGTCTACCGTCCCATTCAACGAAATATAATTATATACTTTTTCCAGTGTCCGCCCCCTCCCCGAAAATTCTACCCCCGCCCCTGAAAATTTCAAATACCCCCACCCCTCTCCGGGGAGGAAAAAGTCTGAAAGAAACACTGGTGTCGCACTTAGCCACTACCCGAAGAATTGCATTAAAGAAATTGCAAGAAAACCACTTTTTAGATTAGACACATTAATTAGGCGGTAATTTTATTTTAGAGTATTGATGAAGAAATTTCTTTTGAGTTGGGGAGGGGGGCTCAGATGTTCTTAAGCGGGGATGGGGCTTCGCCCCTACCCGAAGAATTGTGTGCAAGAAACTCTTCACAGCAAACCATTTAGATTAGACAAAATTGCCTTTTTATTCAATGTTTACTCGAGAATCAATGACGTCATATTACTGTGTGCACTCTCCGGCTTGAGATTATTTTCTACTCTACCCGAAGAATTGTGTGCAAGAAACTCTTCACAGCAAACCATTTAGATTAGACAAAATTGCCTTTTTATTTAATGTTTACTCGAGCATCAATGACGTCATATTACTGTGTGCACTCTCCGGCTTGAGATTATTTTCTACTCTATGCTAAATGTGACCGCGTCATACTTTGTTTTTTGAATTACTATGCATGTTTTTAATTTCCTTGTGTTTTCTCTAGAGCGTTCTTGTCAGATACATAGATAGATAGATACACAGATAGATACACAGACAGCGAAACTATTAGTATTAATTAGGCTATTGGTCTTTGTGGGACATCATGATAACTCAAAAATCTCAAGTTTGGGTCCCCAGGCTGAAGTGTGTAGGGTGTCAGGGTACATTCAACTCTGATGGGTACCTGACTCACATTCTAGAGTGTGTAGGATGTCAGGGTACATTCAACTCTGATGGGTACCTGACTCACATTCTGGAGTGTGTAGGATGTCAGGGTACATTCAACTCTGATGGGTACTTGACTCACATTAGGGAAACAAAAGCAGCTTGGCATAGGCAGAGGTGTAGCTACCCATTCTGTATAGAATGTTAAAGTACATTCAACTCTGATGGGTACCTGACTCACATTAGGGAAACAGAAGGCAGCTGGGCATAGGCAGAGGTGTAGCTACCCATTCTGTCATCCAGGGTGAACTATCAATTTAACGCCCCCCCCCCCCCCAAACAAACAGCAAATGTCAACTTGCACACCAACAACTAACAGGAACAGATGATTGGTCTTTACTCTTTTGTTTAGAGTTTAGAATTAGATGTTAGAATTTTAATAGATAGTAAGGTTGAATGTTGATTTGGCACCTTTAGCCTTTGGAATCTTAACTTAAATAATAAATAGATTAAATAGTGGGGATGTTATTACTTAACAACAGTTAAGTTGGTAGATATTAGCTAGGCCAATCCCGCTGCCGAGAAAATCGGACAAATCGGCTTTTCCCTACCCCCTGCATGTTTAGTTCTGTTTTTTGCATGCTTTTATTGTGTTTATATTAACATGTTATACATCATTCTGTTCGTAATTGAATAACCTTTTTAACTGTATTAGTTTGATTTCTGTATTATTTCAGACGTTGAAGAAATCGCCGATTAAATCGCATTTTTTACCCTCCGCGGCGACGTGCCGATTAGGGGGGAGGCTTTTTCACCTTTTTAAAAGGGGGGTGTTACTTGGAGTCTATAGACTCTGTGAGTTTTCGTACTACAACTGTGAAACTTTGTAGAAGAATAGATTAAATGTACACGTATAACGCTCAGGGTTCTTGGTTAAAATATGTTAAATACTTTCTGAGATATAAGACCGCAAAGTTAAACTAAGTTATTTGAGCTATTTATGGACCGATTTGTTATTTGAACCCTGAGCTGTATTCCTGAAATCTCGACGTTTATTAATATGTATCATATGTCCTATAACGCCCTATAATAAGGACGTCTATAGACTTTGAAGTGGACCGAAAATATAAACACGACGCGCCGACCGCTGACTGACTGAACCGCCCTGCTGTGCTTCGAATCGCCGTTTTTAACCTGATGACGCGTTACAAAATTTGTATACACGTATCGAGTTTACGTACTACAACAGTTAAATTTGGCAGACGAATACATTAAATGTAGACGTATAACGCTCAGGGTTCGTGGTCAAAATAAGTTAAATACTTTTGGAGATATCGGATCGCAAAGTTGAACCAAGTTTCCCGGTCTATTATTGGACATATTTTACATTTGAACCCTGAGCTGTATTCCCGAAATCTCGACGTTTATTTTAATGTATGACATGTATTATGGCACCTCGTAATAAAGCCGTCCATACATTTTAAAACCGAACGAAAATAAAAATTAACGCGTCGGCCGCCGTCCGACTGATTGGTGATCTACACATCGTGTGGCACAGCCGAGTGTGTGGTCACGTGACGCTAGGCGCTTGATCCGATTGGATGAGACTATAAACAATGTCTAAAGATAGATACATGTGTTCCCGTGTTTGACTCGACGGCTATTGCTATTTTACATTTATAAGCACACAGACATGTTGCATAACTTTGTCTTAACCCATTGAAACGTCAAACAAAAGTTTTGTTAGTATTTACGGCAGAGGACTAATCGTCAAAATTAATCTTCTTTAGAAATTAATCCGAATAGCTTCGGCCCGATCAAACAATGCTGTGATGTGATTCGTGTAACGTTTCATTATTGTGTACAATACTTTTTCGTAAAAATGGCTGAAAAATAAATTAAATTATATCCGGGGCTCTTTTCTACAAATTTTATTACCACTAACAACGTGGGGGTTACTAGCTTGTCAAATCGACCAAAATGGGGTGGGGTGGATGGGGGTAGCCACTGACCATCCTACACCGTATGTAACACCCAACGTAACACCCTTAGCCTCACCCGCCCCCACTAGTCCGAGACGCGACAAGCCGACGAGCATCGCATTTGATGTTGTATAACACCCGTACGGTATACGGTGGTTTCATACCCCACCTCCCTCCCCCTTCACTTTGTGGAGTTGATGTTACTAACCCTCGGGCATAGATCAGGAAATCTTGCCAGACTTTTGTCTCTGAGATTACATAATATTCATCTGACACGTTCATCGGGTTGGCCGACTAGCCTAACCAGCGGTCGTGTTTACGTAATAGGGCAATAAAATTGGTTGGTCAGAAGACCTGGTTACCCACGTCTGATTGAACAAAATCTAGGCAAAAGCTTGTGGTGGTACCAGAGGCGTATCCAGGTTTTCGTTGTAGGGGGAGCGAAAAGAGCACAAAAAGGCGCCGAATTTTTAACACGTTCTATTTACGTGTATTATATATATATATATATATATATATAT